GAGATGAGGAATGAGCAATGAGGATTCCCAGCACAAGCCTATTAACTATGTTTCTTTTCATAATCGCATGTATATACATATTAACTTTTGGAGTGTGGGAAGCTTCTCTCTATAAATGATTGATTATTATAAATTCTGAGTCCAAACTCCAGGAGTTGCAGCCTTTACTGATTTTTCTCAGGAATCAATCGGAGCTTTTACTATTTCAGAAGCCCTTGTCAGGTACTCTTCTTCTTTAATCTGCTTGCTTCCTTAGACAAACTTTCCTTGAGAAAATAAAATTCTGTGCCTATCTGTGTGTGCGCGCGCACTCATACATGTGAGTATTTTGGTAAATATTTGTCAGGTCTAAATATTTCATCTCTTTTTATTTACTTAAGTTTGTATGAAATTTTACATTGAAAAAAGTTGCTAAGTTTATCAAAAGTGCAACAGAACAGTGATCTTAATAATGTTTTTGATTAGCCATCAGGATACATACCATTCTGTCAAGACGATGGGAGAACTTAATTATGGACTTCTCTTCCCAAAGTGGAATTCCATGATGACGTTCATTGATCGTTTACTCTCCCTTCATGACTCAACAGACATAAAAAATATAGTCTTCGACTTTTTCGGCATGGGGGCATATATGGATCAGTAACTGTGGAGGACCTCTCGTATTCGTGATTTGATTTGCACTACTGTTGGGTATAATGGTGTTGAACTTGATCTTAATCTTTAGGATTACATTGACATGAGTTTTGAATTGCCTGAAAGCCTCTCATTGTCCAGAGCACTGGAGGTTTTGAAGGTGGTGTTCGTCGCAGGAATTTCTGTCGGGGATGACTTCCTGGCCAACGAGCACACAGCTTCCCTGGGAGAGATCGGCGCCGGTTGAGGGCTGCTGTCGGGCTTCTGCTTTCCTGTCGGGTTTTGTCGGGCAAGTCTCGTCGGGCAAGTCTTTTATCGGGCAAGACTCTGCGGGCGAGACTTGTTGGGCAAGTCTGAAAGAGAAGGACAAAGTTAATTTGAAAGGTGCATTTGTGGGGCCTTAGGTATAGGCCTTGAGGCTCACAATCAAGATTAACTTTTGAGGTGCTCAGGCGTGCCACTGCCATCTTCAGTATGGCAGATGTAGAATGGATGTCGAATTTTAGGTGCAAACATGTATATACCCGAGAAACCGTGTTAGATATGACAAGTGCCTTTTGTGGGCCTTAGGTGTAGGCCTTGAGGCTTACTGTCAAACTAAACCAGTGCTCGAACACATCATATTTGAACTTATGTTTGTCGGAGTCTTATAACTATTATATTTCTGATTATCCGAGTCTGAGAGGTAGAGCGAACCCAAATAGGTGCCTTTGTGGGGCCTTAGGTGTAGGCCTTGAGGCTTCCCATTAGAGTCCGTTCTTATACTCAAACCATCTAGACCGCAGAATAGAATGAATCCAAATAAGTGCCTTTGTGGGGCCTTAGGTGTAGGCCTTGAGGCTTCCTATCAGAATCCATTCCATACTTAAGCGTTCTATGATAATCATGATATAATAGAAACAAAACCAAGAGGTAGGTCGATTACTTGCGCCCCAAGTAACTTCGGACTTCTCGTTTATCAAGGATTGTCGTGGATGGGTTAAGTCCACATAAAGTTCTTTTTTATGCCTTGAGGCCAAGGACTTTTAAACTAATCGGATTTACATGCCCGAGGGCTTAGGACTTGGATCTGATTTAAACACTGAAGATATATTCAAATCGGATCCAAGTACTGAGAAAGCTTTGTCATCGTGATTTTGCTAGAAACAACTTGCATATAACTGGAAGTATACAACATATTGCTAGACTTTAAAGAAAGAAAAGACAAAGACAGAGCAAAGCAGGTCGGGCAAGATTAAACCTTATCAATTAAGGCTGATCATCTTGCAGGTCCCTATCTTTGTAGTTTTGTCAAAGGTCTGAAAGCTTAGAGGGAGAGAGAGAGAGGATACAAAAGGTGAATCGATACTACCACAGGTTTAGAACAAGGTAGCAGAGCTATTACAGAGGTTAGAAGAAAAGGTTATCCCGCGGGGGATAAAGGCTTGTCCCGAATGGGATGAAGGCTTGGGCTGACTACAACTTCGTTTTGAAAGGCAAATCTGGCTTTGAGCAGAGTTTTGGCTTACATTTGTTTGTTTGTTTGAGTGTCCTCATTCCTGTCTCCTCTTCCTCCTTTTATAGACGACTCGGTTTGGCTCCTGTAGCAACAGTTTTGCCCGAATGCGGTCTGAGGGTGATGACTCATCAACTTTATTACATATAATGCCACCATAAAGTACTTTATGGGCTGTGCAGTCTGATCAGTCTACACCACTTGGTCCTTGGGTAGGTAAGCAAGTGGCTTCTATGAATTGTATCAAGTCAGAAAAGGCCTCTTCCTGCTTCCTAAGTTTCGGCCGGGCCTTGATCTTCTATTCCTCCAGGCCTCCTGTTGGGCTGACTCCATCCTTCAGCCCAAAGTCCAGTTTTAACCCAAACAGTGCCCCCTTCAATTGATATTAAACTTGGAATTCTAGGCGCCAATATTAATTGAAAGAAACTCCTTATTAAACCCACGAATCCCTCGCGATTGAACTTCTTAATTTTCGGTGTTCCGTAGAAAGAAATCCCTCTGTGACTAAAAACTTTCCTACTTCTCCCCACCATTCCTCTCTGTTGCCCGACAAGGTTGCATCCTTATCATCTTCCTTGTTTTCTCTCTCGACCTTCATCAAATGGCTTCAGGATCCAGCCAAACCCCACCATTTTACGAATCCGGCGATGGAATCGCCACTCTACGCCGTCTACTCAACGGGCTGCATCGTCCGCGGGCAGGTTTACATTCTGAGCTATTCTTTGAGACGCATGGAGTATAGTCATTGGGCCCCGCCTAGATTTCTCGGGTCCCCTCAGTGGTGGAAAGCAACATGCCTAGGGAGAACTGGTTTACCCCAAATCCCTATTCGGCGAGTTCAGGCATCTCCTCTTCGAAATGGTCATCATATCGTCGAGGCTTTCCCTTGATGAATGATCCTACCTGGGCCCAGTGGGTTGACGAATTAGAGCCTTCCTTCAAGCAGAAATGGATGAGTAACGGTATTTATGAACTAATCATGCTTTCGAAGACTTCCGTTATCTCTAAGCCCGAATTAGTTACTTCTGCCCTCCTCTTTTGGAATACGGGCACAAATACTTTCGATTTCCGTATGGGCCCCATGTCTCCCACCATTCTTGACATGGCCCAGGTCTTCGGTTTAAGGCCATCGGGCAGGATAGTGGACGTCACTCAAGACTGGGTTCCGTCCCCTACCACCGGGAGCTCGAGTTCATCTACCCCCTTCCTTCCTCTGAGCTATAACTCCGCCACTTTCAAGAGTTATGGGACCTCCTTTAAAGGATTCATTCCTTTTGTAAAGGAAAATTTTGGGGCAGGCTCCCCTCGGGCTGACAAAGATCAAGAGCATATGTATTTTCTTTTATACTGGCTCAACAAGCACATCTTCCCCAACAAATCTAAAGGAGTGAGGGTATAATGGATCCCCTTGGTAGAGGTTTTTTTCACAATTTTGATGATGTAGCCACAGGTCCATTCCTTCTTTCTCATCTCTATCACCTTCTTTTTGAAATGACTCGAGACGAGCCATTCGAGACCAACTTGAATGGACCTATCTGGATGATACAAATCTGGCTGCAATGGTATTTTCCAGAATTTCAGGCTGCTAATCTGGAGTTCCCAGAGGGTGTGGCTCATGCCCGAACCCTGGCTGAAGCTCCCCCTGTAGACCATTCTACCTTTGCCTGCTTTTACTTTTTCAGAGTCTGCAGGACTCGATCAGACTTAGAATGGGGTGCGTCTGTCTTGAGGAGATATCCTTGGTTCTCTAACCAAGCCTTCCAAGATGCCCCTAGTGAGGATGCTACCCCCTTTTGCAGGGAAAAATTTATTAGCTGTATTCAACCGAGAGACTTGGCCTGGGGGGTTCGGGGCAATAGATATGATCGCGGCTTGGAAGTGTACCATCCTAACTTCTGCAGCAGGCAGTTAGGATTTAGGCAAGCCATACCTGTTCCATTTTTCGATTATGTCCATTGTGGCACCTCATTCCGGTTACAAACTCCACCTGAAGTGACATTCCGAGCTGCCCGACGCAGCCTGGATGTAATGAGCCAAGCAGCCTGAAATTCCGTTGTTCTTAATTTTGAATGTACCTTGCTATTTTCTTCTTGGTGGGAGGACAAATGGACTAGAAAGTATGGAGGAGATTTGAAAGTGAATCACGATTGCATCTTCAACCAGCTTTCTCTTAAATCATATCCTGGCTCGGGCGAGCTTGCAAATTGGAAGGAAATAATTCAAGAGAAAAACCGGTTACTTCTGATAGGTACTTCTCTTTCCATCTGATTTCATTTCTCCTCTGATGTCCATCTTCCCTTACTTTTGTTTGATTATGCAGCTCCAGTGGATATTGAATCTGAAACCATTGAATCAGAGAATGACTCCGCTGATACTGCAGTTCTTCATGGTGCTGCCGCAGAGGCTGAGAGACGAGAAGCCGGGGAGGGGACGGACATCTCAGAATCCATTGGGGATTCAGGGGCTGAAGGAACACCTAAGGCAATCACTAAAGCCCCCAAGCGAAAGAAAGTGGTCATGGCTAAAGATTCAGACCCTGATTATGCACCTCTTCCGACAACCACAAGACCAATTCTCACTCGAAAGAGTAAGCGGGCAAGGATTACTATTCCTCCTAAATCAGGAGTCCCATCTGCTCCAGTTCCTGAGGCAGGCAGAAAGAAGCAACAATCTTCAAGTGAGTTTCTCTTTTTCTATATCAAACTGCTACCTTTCTCCTTTATCTAATTGTCCCTTTTATCGATCAACAGGACCTCAAGCATCTAAAAGGCCAATCCTTGCTTCTAAGGAGGAACCACTAAGGGCTGCTATGCTTAAAAAGGCCAAAGAATTGTGAAACACCGCCCTCCGAGAACTCGAGGTATGGCTGATATTATTGTATACTTTCTTACTCTCACACAACTCTAAATTTGATTACTCTGACTCAGGCTGCAAGAGAGGAAACACTCTCTTCGCCCGAGGCTTCTCCACAACCTGCCCGAGAGAAAAAATTTTCCCCCTCCCAGACCAATCCTGCTGAGGTACTTTCTCTCCATCTACTTCTTGGATATCTCTCCAATTTATGGATCTAATGGCTAAGGTCTTTTCTTTCCTTCTATTTTGTTTTCCTAGGCTGGCGCATCTGCCTCCTTGCCTAGTCATGGACCTCCTCTGAGATCTATGACTTCTTCTACTGCTCTGGATGCGACCCCTTCTTCTCAATTTGATCCGTCCACCGGAGTTATGCTACACTTCGTGGATGAGGATGATCCCTTGGTGAGTTATTATTTCCTCCTTGAAATTCTGCACATTGCTACCCAATTAAATCCTATTCATGTTTCCTGCAGCCGTCCCCAGTATATGAGCCACCTCCCTCACTAGTGGTCTCGAATAAGGAACCCATAGTTCCTGAGATCCCTGTTACTTCAGATGCAGCAATTCCACAGGCGTTTGCTTGCCCGATAGTTGATGAACCTTCTTCTCCTCCCCAAGATCAGACTCAGGTACTGGAATATTTCTTCTCGCTTCTTCCTCTGGTGACCTTTTTACTGACAATTACTGCTTTCTTTGGATATATCCAGGATGCAGGCACAGGTTCAGGCGCAGCTCTTTCCTCTCCTGCTAGCAGTGAAGAATCTTCACCCCAACAAGGAGTTGGTACATTCTCTGGTGAAACTCCGGGGCTGACCCATGTAGATTTCTTCTTTCCAGAACCTCTTTTTTTGCTTCAACCTGTATTCAGATTATCTTGACCTAGTCTTTTGGTTTTTGTAGCAAGCTTCAAAAGAAACTTCCCCTCCTCCATTGGCTCGTAAATCAAAGCGCACCCATCCTCATTCATCTTCTGGAGGTATTGATACTTCCCCTCTGGAGTTGAACAGACTAAACAGGCAGAGATTGCCCCCTCAATAGGCATTGTCTCATCGGAGGGAATTGTCACGCCGGACCCTCCTCCTTTCCCATCCTCTGATCTTGCCAAGTTGCCCAAACTCTTTGAAGCGCTCGGGCGACTTGAGACGCGGTTGAAATCTTCAACGCAGCCTTCAGCAACCTCCATGTCCTCAGAGCAACATCGAATCTTTCAGGAATGGGCAAAGAAAGAATTCACCGCGTCATTTAGTCTCAAGGCTCTTTGTGATCTTGAGAAGGTCATAACTGAATTTTTCAAAACCGGTCGTTTGTCCAAGCCTCAGCATGATTCTTTCCTCTCTTTTCTTTGAAAACTTGAGGGCTCTCTCAGGGAACAATACCAGAGAGCGGACAGACAGGCTAACTAGGCAAAATGCTTTATGGAGAAAGAATCAAACTCCTCTACCCAAGTTAACCAGCTGATGGAAGAAAGCATGCAGACCAAAGAAAGGGTTAAAGTGGTTTCTTCTGAAATCCAGAAGCTAGAAGAGCAACTGATTGCCCTTAAGGCAGAACAAGCAACTCTTCTAGACACCCTTGAACACCAAATCGAAGGGGTAGAGAAAGCAACTTCGGAGTTAGAGCAAGCCAAGTCCCAACTTGTAAACAACCATACTGTCTTGGCCGAACCTAGTAGGATTTTTACCATCATGCGAACATATCATTCTAGAATAATCACTCTATGTGAAGATGTAAAGTTTTTAGAATAGAATGATTTGTAACTCCTTTTGTATTGGAATGAACATGTAATTTACTTCTTGCTCTACCATATCTGAATTGACTTTGGGCAACTATTTGCCCCCTCTATCTACGCATTTTTCTCCTCCACCTTCCCTGTTGACAACCTTATAATCAGCCCCTGGTCCTCTGGTCCCCTCATGGCACCTCTATTCAACCGACAACCCTGGCTCCTTAAAAATGAGGTTGATCATATTGATAGGAGCCTCCGGAAAAGGGTTAGTGTCCACCATCATACTGGCTTGGGGTGAGTCAAGTAATAGCTTCCCTTTCACTATAAGATCTTGCACCCAATCTCTAAACTGGACACAATTAACTATAGAATGGTTGAAGGTATAATGCAACTTGCAATACTTTTTCCCCCTGAGTTCCTCGGGCTTGGGCATCTTTTTGGTACTGTCGGGCAAAATTACTCTCGCCCGCACCAATTCTTCATAGATCTCCGGTGCCTTGGTTAAATCGAACGAATAACTCTGATACTTTGGGGTTTTCATGGGGACGAAACCACCATCATTCATCACGATCTTCTGATCCTTGACAGGTTGGACTAACCCTTTGAATGTCAATGGTTTGAAGGGTGTGGTCATCTCAGCAGCACATACATCTATATTTTCTTCCTCATGGCCATCCTCGCGTTCGGGGCTGGTTTCTCCTACCTCCACATGGTGAATAGTAGCCTTGCTTTTGTAGAAATGAGGGACTTTGGAAGTGTGCTTCACTTGCTGTTCCTCTTGCAACAACCTCTCATACTTCGTGGCAGCAATCACCAGTTCTTGCAGCTCATTAAACTGTGCATCATAAAACCTTTTTCTCAAAGGTAATTTTAAAGCCCTTTGAGCAATGGATATGAGTTGTGCTTGGTTGACGGGGAATTGGCATCTCATCCTTGTTCTCCTGAACCTCATCATGAAATCTTCTGTGGACTCATGATCGTATTGTTTTACCTCCACTAGATCATTGATGGTCAATTCTGGCTCTATTCTGTAGAACTGTTCATGGAAAGCCATCTCCATTTGCCCCCAGTTGGCAATAGAGTTGGGGGGTAATAGAGAATACCATTGAGACGCCAATCCTGCCAATGAATTTCCAAACAACCTCAATTTGTAGTTTGGATTGTCCTCATACGCCACACAGTGATTGGAGAATTTGAAAATATGGTCTCTGGAGGACACACTGCTGTCTTCACCTGTGAAGGTAGGGAATGCGGGCATCTTGAAGTTGAGAGGGAGTGGATTTAGCTCGTCGATATATTCAGGATATGGCTTCTGGTAAGTAATCCTGAATACTGGGCGAGCCCGCGGCTGGGCGTTTTGAGTCACCGTTCTTCTTAACTCAGCCAATTCCTCCCTTAGTTGCTGAGTGACTAAATTATCATTATGACCGAGGATCGTAGATTCAATCTTCGGGCTCTGGTCATTGCCTGCATTTGCTTCCCTCCTTGGTTCGGGCTTCCTCCAGTTAGATCATCCACCTTTATTGACCATCGGGGGTGGCCTATAGGGTGGAGGTTTATCTGAAGTAGTAGTAGTAGTACCCTCTTTCCCACTAGTTTCTCCCATCATAACTGGCAGTCCGAACCTCATTTTTTCTTGTTCGTTCTGCCTCCTGTTATTAAATGATAATAATGGGAAGCTGGGAAACTCCTTCTCCGGAACTGGCTCTATCGCTGGTTGACTTCCTTCAGGGATTACCTTCTTCTTTCCCCTATCCCTTTCTTCTTCTAGTAGTGGGAATAAGGGAACGATTGGCTCATTTCTTGTGATAACCTGGCTCATTCCACTTCCTTGAGCACCCTTTGGAGTAGAGAACTCCAAATCAAGCCTTCTCTGTAGATTCCCTGTGAGCATACAGAATCTGCTTACTTCTCCCTTTGTTTCCAGGGAGATCCTTTCCATGCTCTTTAACACTTGGATCATTGTAGCTTGTAGCTCTTCATTGGTTCCCTTTCCTTGTGATCTTTCAGATGCAGTCGGGCTATCTGAAACCACCTGTCCGGATGGGGAAGAAGGATTTTCTGATTGTTCTGCCATTTGGAGAAGACCTTCCTTTGGATTCTTTTTACCAAGTTTATGGTTCTTCTTTTTGGACATGCAAGATCTGGAAGTCTAGATCCCACCGGGCGTGCCAAAACTATGTTCGTCGCAGGAATTTCCGTCGGGGATGACTTTCTGGCCAACGAGCACACAACTCCCCTAGGAGATCGGCGCCGGTTGAGGGCTGCTGTCGGGCTTCTGCTTTCCTGTCGGGCTTTGTCGGGCAAGTATTTTATCGGGCAAGACTCTGCGGGCGAGAGACTTGTCGGGCAAATCTGAAAGAGAAGGACAGAGTTAATTTGAAAGGTGCCTTTGTGGGGCCTTAGGTATAGGCCTTGAGGCTCACAATCAAGATTAACTTTTGAGGTGCTCAGGCGTGCCACTGCCATCTTCAGTATGGCAGATGTAGAATGGATATCGAATTTTAGGTGCAAACATGTATATACCCGAGAAACCGTGTTAGATATGACAAGTGCCTTTGTGGGGCCTTAGGTGTAGGCCTTGAGGTTTCCTGTCAAACTAAACCAGTGCTCGAACACATCATATTTGAACTTATGTTTGTCGGAGTCTTATAACTATTATATTTCTGATTATCCGAGTCTGAGAGGTAGAGCGAACCCAAATAGGTGCCTTTGTGGGGCCTTAGGTGTAGGCCTTGAGGCTTCGCATTAGAGTCCGTTCTTATACTCAAACCATCTAGACCGCAGAATAGAATGAATCCAAATAAGTGCCTTTGTGGGGCCTTAGGTGTAGGCCTTGAGGCTTCCTATCAGAATCCATTCCATACTTAAGCGTTCTATGATAATCATGATATAATAGAAACAAAACCAAGAGGTAGGTCGATTACTTGCGCCCCAAGTAACTTCGGACTTCTCGTTTATCAAGGATTGTCGTGGATGGGTTAAGTCCACATAAAGTTCTTTTTTATGCCTTGAGGCCAAGGACTTTTAAACTAATCAGATTTACATGCCCGAGGGCTTAGGACTTGGATCTGATTTAAACACTGAAGATATATTCAAATCGGATCCAAGTACTGAGAAAGCTTTGTCATCGTGATTTTGCTAGAAACAACTTGCATATAACTGGAAGTATACAACATATTGCTAGACTTTAAAGAAAGAAAAGACAAAGACAGAGCAAAGCAGGTCGGGCAAGATTAAACCTTATCAATTAAGGCTGATCGTCTTGCAGGTCCCTATCTTTGTAGTTTTGTCAAAGGTCTGAAAGCTTAGAGGGAGAGAGAGAGATAGAGGATACAAAAGGTGAATCGATACTACCACAGGTTTAGAACAAGGTAGCAGAGCTATTACAGAGGTTAGAAGAAAAGGTTATCCCGCGGGGGATAAAGGCTTGTCCCTAATGGGATGAAGGCTTGGGCTGACTACAACTTCGTTTTGAAAGGCAAATCTGGCTTTGAGCAGAGTTTTGGCTTGCATTTGTTTGTTTGTTTGAGTGTCCTCATTCCTGTCTCCTCTTCCTCCTTTTATAGACGACTCGGTTTGGCTCCTGTAGCGACAGCTTTGCCCGAATGCAGTCTGAGGGTGATGACTCATCAACTTTATTACATATAATGCCACCATAAAGTACTTTATGGGCTGTGCAGTCTGATCAGTCTACACCACTTGGTCCTTGGGTAGGTAAGCAAGTGGCTTCTATGAATTGTATCAAGTCAGAAAAGGCCCCTTCCTGCTTCCTAAGTTTCGGCCGGGCCTTGATCTTCTATTCCTCCAGGCCTCTTGTTGGGCTGACTCCATCCTTCAGCCCAAAGTCCAGTTTTAACCCAAACAGGTGACGTCAAGGTTTACTTCCTATGCTTTCCTGAGTCTCAAGGGCTTACGAGTGTCAAGGTACAATTTTTTGATGATTCAGTAGCAAAGCTTTTTCAGGTTTCCCATAAGGTAATATTTCATTTCAGCATAAACTTTTGTTTGATCAATAATCTTTCTTGCAGGCTTTGTGTCTGCCCACTTTTCAAAATCTGATCCAATTGGAGCTTGTTCTTAGTGCTCGCAATTATTGGGAGTTTCTAACAGGGTTCTTCGTGCTCACGGTTATTTTGTTTGATCAATGATGATCGTTCTAGTCAGAATAAAACGAAGACTGAACAAAATTTCACTCATTAACTCACAAATTAACATACTGTCAACCAAGAAACAAAAATCTGTCGGCTCACTTCAATACAAATCCTCCCTTTTCCCGTTAACGAAAAAAATATAAAATATAAAATTGAGCCATTGATGGTGATGAAGAGTGGCTATATTTTGTTCCTTCACTCACTCTCAAATCTAAAACCTTGTTGATTTGTATATATTTTGTTTGTCTGAAAGTATCAGATTATTAATACAACAAGTGACGAATGAGAATTGCTATCCACACATGCCGTTTTAATTTATGTCTTTTAATCTTCTTCAACTCTTTCAATTCAATGTCGAAAATTAAGAAGAGTGCGTGGAAAGTAAAAAGGAGTATATGAACACCACCATTCCCAAAAAGAGAATTCAAAACGAGTCAACATATGAAGTGTCATGGTTCGAGGAACCACCGGACATCATCATGGACATTTTACTAGAGGATATTTCTAGTTAATGTGGCTGGTTTTATAATTTTATTTCCTTGAGGATAGCTAGGTTGCCTTATGTTGATTGTGCGGGGTGCTCTTTTCCCTTGAACTGGGTTGAAATTTCCGACAGGGCTTTTATCGGGGCCCCTTATGCACACTATCCTCAAGTTTTGTACGTTTTCCCTTGATCAATGAATATTGTACTGTTTCAAAAAAACGAGGCAACATATTTACTGCTCTTTGTGGTAATTAATCATTACGATCTATTAAGTTATTAACTTTTGGACTCTGTAAATTCTCAATGAGTGTGTGGAAAGTTTCTCTCTCTGTAAAATCTGACTATCCGAGTCCAGAGATTCCAGACTCTTGATTTTCTCTGCAATCAATTCAAAAATGTTTCGTTTGCTCGGTCATCTTAGAAGCTCTTATCAGGTACTACTCTTCTTAACCTGTTTTCTTCTTTAATCTGTTCGCTTCCTTGGAATAACTTTATTGTATCGTGAACTTACATATATATAGGTCTAAATGTTTTGCATGCATTTTTCGTTGCTTAAGTTTGTCTTTAAAAGCTTTTATGTTATCAAAGGTACAACAGAAAAGTGATCTCATTAATGTTTTTTATTAGCCATCAGGGTACATACCAATGGGTTCGACATCGAAGTGTCAAGAGCGAGTTGATAGGATCAGTGAATTGCCAAATTCACTTCTTTGCCACATACTTTCATTCTTTCCGATATTAGATGCTGTGCAGACTACAATTCTGTCAAGACGATGGGAGAACTTATGGACTCCTCTTCCCAAACTTGAATTTGATGATGATTGTTTTCCTTATTCATGGATTGAATCCAACATGATTGTTTTCCTTATTCATGGATTGAATCCAATCGTTTTTTAACATTTGTTGATCGTGTACTTTCCCTTCATGACTTATCAGACATTCAAAAATTCAGTATTGAACTTTATAGGTGTTGATAAAGCTCTAGTGAACCAACACCGGATCATTTAACTCTTATTTATAATTGGATCTGCACTGCTATTAGGCACAATGTTGTTTATCTTGATCTTTATCTTGGTCTTTGGGATTGCTGTGAAATGAGTATTGAGTTGACTCAAAGCTCCTTCTTGTGCAAAACACTAGAGGTTTTGAAGGTTGTCATCAAATTTTATTACTTGTTCTCCTCCTACATCAGGCTGTTTCCCGAGTCTCAAGGTCCTAATTGTCCAGGTAGAGGATCTTGATGATTCAGTGGCAACTGCAAAGCTATTTTCTCATTGCCCTGTACTTGAAGATTTGAATATAGATGTAATTCCAAATGCTTATGCTTCAAATGTCAACATATCTGCACCTAGATTGAAGGCCTTAACAAAATCGTTGAACACTAACTATAATGAAAAGGACGGTGATTTTGTCCGTTTTTATATTGATGCTCCAAATCTGGAAAAGTTATCCATTGCGGCTGCCAATTCTCTCTTATTTTTGTTGGAAATTCAAATCAAATCAGGTTGTAAATGGCAGCTGCTAGCTGTTAGTTTCTTTACAGGTTGTATTCACACTTGCTGCAACTACAAAGACTAAAGTTTCCTCCATGTGCCAGCTGAAAGTGTGTTCAAAGACAGCAGCTGTGTGCTGCCATGTGATGTGCTAGCCGAAACTATGTTGATTGCAAGCTGGAAAGATAGCTGCACATGTGTGCTAGACTGTCCAAAGTTCATATGATCTGTTTGTGTGTGCTATTGTGTTTATTTTATTAAAAGCACTTGAGTGGTCCTTCATTTTCTGCTTGTATAAATAAGCCTCCCGTAAGGCTTTAGGATGAGTCTCTGATTTGTCATTCCATGTCAGAAGTGTTTGCAAATTGTTTTAAATATATCAAAGTGCATTGTTTGCCGAAGCTTGTAGCTTCCCTCCTTTCTCTATTTCTTTGTCCAATTTTATTGAGAGTGCAAAGTGAGAGGTGTGATAGAGTTTGTAAACTTATCACCCATATATTTTGGTATTGAGTTAGTAAACTTCTCAATACCAACAATTTTGGTTTGGAGAGTGAAAAATCTCTCTAGTCGAAGAAACAGTTTATTTCAGGAGTATAGTTGAATATTCTTCCGCCATTGATGACTGTGCAACTAAGTTTCTAGCAGGAATTTCTAATGTTAGAATCTATCTCTTACGGTTTCAATTTTTGAGGTAACCATACCCTAGGTTTCTTTCCCCTTCTTACCATTTTTCTTTTTCTTAAAACTTTGTTGCTCTTATTGTTCTTTCATTTATACCAAACTTAATTGTGGTTGTGACTGGAAGCTTTTCTGTTTAATTTTGGAACGTTGCGATTCAAATAATTTGTTATATATATTGCATCAACTTTTTGATTAATCAATGATCTTTCTTGCAGGCTTCGTGTTTGCCTACTTTTGAAAATCTGATTCAACTCGAGCTGAATTTTAGTGGTCGGAAGATCAAAGATACTGTCATTCAGAGGCTTATGCCACTCATCATCCATTGGTGAGTTTCTTACAGGATTTCTGAAGAGTTCCCCTGTCTTGAAACATTTTGAGTTTCATAATGTACTTTCTCTTATGCAGCATGATCTAATATGTGACTCTTAACAATTCTTATTTTAACTGTTCTTTAAAATAAAATTGGCAGGACAACAAAATGGTTTGAGGAACATGAGCATAAATGGAATGTGAGCAATAATCCACCAGACATCGTGCCTCTTTGTTTGTTGTCACATCTCCAGACCATCTCCATAAGGTGTTTCAAGGGTCAGCGAGATGAGATGGAAGTTGCTAAATACTTTTTGAAGAATGGCAAAGTTTTAAATAAGATGACTATTCATACACTTCTCCTAGAACACATAAATTTTTGTGTTCGGAAGATGAGATGTGCAGGAAAATCTCAACATTTGAAAAGGGTTCAATGACTTGTCAAGTTGAATTTGTAAAGATGGGTGATAGATACTAGAGGGGGTCAAAGGACGTGTTATTGCTGCTAAACAATTTTCTCTGTTGATTGAAGATGCTCTTTTTCTTGTGGATTTCTTTTTTACTTTGATTTTACTTATTTAACATTCTAGCATGTAGTGTATTCATCAGTTAGTAGATAAATTATTGATACTGAGCAGCGTAGTTTTTCGATTGTTGAACTCCAAGCTTCCTCGATGAATAATATCATCTGTAATATCATTTGTTCATTGTATGTTCTTCTATATTAGTTATCGTCATTGGTTCGACACAGGAAGTTATGACTGGTAATCTCACAGGGAGGAATGCTGCTGAATAATTCATGCACTTGTAAGTTTGGAACAATAATCTTTGTATTCAGAATAAGAATCACAAACTCTTCAGTTTGTTTACTCAGTCAATAACTCTTACCCAGTGGAACTTGTGTTCAGGTTATATGAATTTTGAATGTTTGTTGTAATCAGAATTAGTTACACCGTTTGAATTTTGAATTGTAAACTTGTAAATAGGTTTTTGAAACCCTAATGTAATCTGAAATCATTATAAATAGATTGCACCCTACGGTGTTGAGGGCAAGTAATTACAGTGAAAAACCTTAGTTCTTCTTTAAACTTTCCTGATAGTAGGGGTGGGTTCGGTTCAAATCGGTTGAGTTTTTTGCCAAAACCGAAACCGAACCGAAATTTCAGTTCTGTTCAAATTTTTTTCAATTTGGTTTTTTCCGGGTCGGATTCGGTTTTTTGTTTTTTTTTTCAAAAAATGAAAAACATTGAAATTTTAAATTTTAATATATCCAACACAATCATAATATAAGCATTCTAACTAGAATCAAAGACAAAGAAAATAAACATTTAAAGTTGAACTAAAATCATCAATCAAGTCTTCCAAAGTCCAAATTAATAATTTCACAACACAAAAATCGTACAAATGACTTAGAAAAGTTAAATTGTATGATGTTGTTCAAAGATCAGGGTTGTTTGCTTGTAACTGCATGTTGACAACTTGATTAGTAAAAGTAATGTGTGGGTGGATTTATTTAGTGTGTGTTGGATTTTTTTCCATCACAAATTACCCAAGTAATCTACCTGAAATAAATGTTTATGGATTATGTTACATGTTATATGAGAGTATATTTGGAAAAGAAAGCTGGGGCATAAGTAGATAGTGCTATGGAGATGAATGTAGGTACTTCAGGAGAAGGTTTGGTTCCGGAACCTTATATGGGGAAGAAATAATAGGTAGGGTTTAGAGTTTTTATAGACCCTTTTTTTAATATTTTGAGCTTAAAGTTTGGCAACACATTGGGTTTAGCACATTTTAACTTACAAATTGGGTTTAGAAAATAATATCCAAAACAAATAATTAAATAAAAAAATTAATTTAATTAATTTGGTTTGGTTCGGTTTGGTTCGGTTTCTAGATCACTAAAATCGAACCGAACCAAAAGAATTTGGTTCAGTTCGGTTTTTTCGCTCGGTTCGATTTTTTCGGTTTCGGTTTAGTTCGGTTTTCGGTTTTTTGAACTCATCCCTACCTGATAGCAATAGTTTTATAGAGAGTAAACTGTCAATTCCCCCCTTGAACTTTCAACTAATAGTTTTACAAACTACCGATCTCCCCCTTGAACTTTCACCTAACTTTCGATTCATCCCCTAAACTTTTAAATTGGAAGGTCAATGACTTAAACTAAAATTTTTGGCCAATTTCCCCATGTTAAATGAAAACATGTGCACAACATGTGAGGGTAGTTTGGTCGCTTCGTTCTTTAAAATAACCATAGATTTATAAAATGTTGACATATGCAAATCTATATGATTCTATAACTTTTATGTCTGAAGGTCTAGCAAAGTGACTTTATTTTTCATCAAGGGAGAGTCATGTAGTGTGCACGTGATAAGAGTTAACGTTAATTTGGATGAAATTTATGGAAAACTAACGGCCGGGGGATCGACCAAAAAAATTAGTTTAAGTCCTTGATTTTCCAATTTAAAAGTTTATGGGGTAAATCAAAAGTAAGGTGAAAGTTAAGCAGAAAAATCGACAGCTTACTCTTTTATAGATTAGTGTGAAATATTATTTACAATAATAAAATAAAAGTTAGCAGCTGAAAGGGGTCTAGGTGGTGATTTTACACAAGACATATTTGTCGACTTGCCTCCTAAAATTGTATGAAGCTACCAATTTCTCATATGAATTTTAATTTTAGCCGATTACTCGGTGAACCCAAAATGTCGTACCCAGTGCACAAGACTCCCACTTTACGCAGGGTATGAGAGAGGTGAATGTCGGCTAGCTTTACCCCCATTTATGGAGAGGCTGCTCCCAAGTCTCGAACCCGAGACCTACAGCTCATGGGCGAAGGCACTTGCTATCGTACCAAGTGCGACCTCTTCGGTGAACCCAAAAGGTAATTGACTAAAATTGAAGATCAAAGGGAAATTGGCAGCGGCAATACAAGTTCAAGCAAATCAACAAATACCTCTTTACACAACGCTGATGGGAGTGCTTCTCCTCCTCCTCCTGCGGCTCTCACTTTCTTAGATTATCCCATTATTTCTCAGCTGCCGATCGGAATTTTACTGTTCACCCAGAAACTCACATCAGGTACTTCACTTCACTCCTTAACTTTCTCACTTCCTTACCGTTGATCTGTCTGGTTACCGAGAAAACTGAGAAAATAATAGAGGGAATAGAAAATCTAAAGTCTTACCCTTTAGTTTTGATTCGCTAATATTTTCCTCTTTAGATTATGAAAGAAAAAAAAAAGGGCGGAAATAAAGTTTTTCATTTTCATATTTAATTGAAATTCAAGGTCTTTGAATTTGCAATGTAATCAAAATTTTTAGGGTTCAAATGGCTTTGAAAAGTAAGAGCTGATCTGGTGCTAAAGATAGGTGTTGGGGCTTAAAAAGACTTCACTAATTTGGAGATGTTTATCTCACAAAGAAGAATGAAATGCAGCGGAATTGATAGGCAAGAGAAAGAACACTCAAAGTGTTATACAAAATTTTTTTATTCTCACACAAACTTAGTACAAGAGGAAACACTCTCACACTTCTTGCTCTCTTACTTGCTCTCACTTCTTCTTAGTTCTTGATTGCTTTCACACTTTGTTACATGGATGCATAGCATCACACACCTATTTATAGGCATGTTTGCCGACCTATGCCATCACTAGAGTTTTCTAGTGCATGAACATGCACATACTACACCAACCTAGGCATTTGCTAGATTATTCTAGCTTATTATGCATGCCACCGACATGGGCATTACATAATAACCTATACATTTATGATGGTTCTAGCCTTTTCTACATACAAACCATTTTTCTAGATTTTCTTAAACTTTTCCAACTTTCTACCTTCTTTGCTAGAGTTTTCTAGCATTTTCTCATTGGTTTTGGGTTGGATCACTTGTCTTGGGCCTAAGACAAGATTACTATTCAACATCCCCCCTTAATCTTGTCTTGTGACGCCGATTGAGTTTCTCAGTCTGACAAAGTCTTCTTGCCTAAGTGGTTTGGTAAATATGTCGGCGACTTGGTCTTGTGACTTCACGTATTCCACTTGCACATCCTTTCTTGCAATGCACTCTCTTATGTAGTGATAACGAGTATCTATGTGCTTGCTTCTGTCATGGAATACTGGATTCTTTGCTAGGGCTATTGCAGACTTGTTGTCGACATAGATCTCTGTTGGTTCTTCTTGTGGCATGCTTAATTCTTTTAGCAAGTTTCTCAGCCAAATTGCATGACAGACACATGAGGTAGCAGCTACGTATTCAGCTTCGCAGGTAGAGAGAGTGACAATCGGTTGCTTCTTCGACATCCATGTGAATGCAGTCTCCCATGAAGAACACAAATCCAGTAGTGCTTTTTCTATCATCGGAATCTCCTGCCCAATCACTGTCGCTATATCCAGCAAGTTTGTAGTTATCAGAACTTGAATAGAACAAGCCAAAGTTAACAGTACCTTTAAGGTATCGAAGAATTCTTTTGGCTGTCTTCAGATGTGTAGTTGTGGGATTCTCCATGTAGCGACTGACTAATCCGACGGCATAGAGAATATCTGGTCTTGTGCAAGTCAAGTAACGCAAGCTTCCAACTAAACTCTTGAAAAATGTTGGATCTACACTTTCTCCTTCGTCATGCTTGGTTAGTTTGACTCCGCACTCCACTGGCATGCTTATGGGCTTGCAGTCGTCCATTTTGAACTTTTTCAGTATCTCCTTTGTGTAGCTTTCTTGGGAGATGAAAATACCTTCTTCGTTCTGCTTGACTTCAATGCCTAGGTAGTATGCCATCAACCCGATGTCCGTCATCTCGAATTCTTTAGTCATCACTCTCTTGAACTCTTCAAACATGCTTGGATTACTTCCAGTGAAGATTAGATCATCCACATATAAGCACACAATCAAAATATCTCCATCTTTGACTTTGACGTAGAGAGCATGTTCATGAGGGCACTTGGTGAAGTTGTTCTCATGGAAGTACTTATCAATGCGACTATTCCATGCTCGTGGCGCTTGTTTTAACCCATAGAGGGCTTTCTTCAACTTCAAAACTTTGTCTTCATGCCCTTTGATTTCATAGCCTGATGGTTGCTGAATGTAGACTTCTTCTTCAAGGACTCCATTTAGGAAAGCGGACTTCACATCCATTTGTTGAATCTTCCATCTGTTTTGAGCTGCCAACGAAATTAGTAATCGTATAGTTTCCAAACGAGCAACGGGTGCAAATACCTCATCATAGTCGATTCCGGCTCTTTGACTATAGCCCTTCGCCACTAATCTCGCCTTGTATCTTTCGACCTCTCCGTTGGCATTCTTCTTTATCTTATACACCCACTTGACTCCGATGGCTTTGTGTCCTTTAGGAAGAATAGCGAGTTCCCATGTATCATTCTTCTGGATTGCTTCAATTTCTTCATCCATTGCTTTCCTCCACTTAGTATCTTGCACTGCTTCTTGGAAGTCAACTGGTTCACAATCAGCAAAGAGACAGAAAAGTGTAGGATTATCGAGTCTTTCAGCTACCTCATAGAGATCTCGTAGACTTCTTGTGCGTGGTACTTCTCTTTCATTTAGACTCCCACTTGATGATGCTGATGCTGGTGAATTACCATGATTGGTTGATGTTGGTGAAGCAGGTGGAGTAGTGGATTCTTGTTGAACTTCTCTTGCTTGCTCCATCGTCCCTTGTTCATTCTCTTCTTCAAATTGAGGAAAAAAGCTGAGATCACTTGCATGAGAGCTAAAATCTCATTCTCCTTCTTCATCGAACGTCACATCTCGACTGATCACCGTCTTCCCATTGTTTGGATTATACAACTTGTAGCCTTTTGAATTTGAGTCATAGCCGATGAAAATGAACTTCTCACTTTTGTCGTCGAGTTTGGTTCTCCTCTCGTCTGGTACATGTACATGGACTATGCTTCCAAAAACTCTTAGATGGGAAATACCTGGCTTTCTTCCACTCCATGCTTCTTGTGGAGTCTTTCCCCACACACTTCTTGTTGGAGACCGATTGGATAGGTAGACAGCACATGCTACAGCTTCTGCCCATAACTCTTTAGGCAATCTCTTACTTTTGAGCATACTTCGAGCCATGTCGAGGATAGTTCGATTTTTTCTTTCCGCCACACCATTTTGTTGAGGGGATCTTGGAACTGTCAAAGGTCGACGAATTCCATTTGCTTCACAAAACTCTTGAAATTCCTTCGAAGTGAATTCTCCTCCTCGATCAGATCTCATGGCTTTGATCTTGCAACCACTTTCTTTTTCTACAGCAGCTTTGAACTTCTTAAATGCTCCAAAGACTTCTGATTTCTGCTTCAAGAAATACACCCAGGTTTTCCTTGAAAAATCATCAATGAAGAGAAGGAAATAATTATTTTTACCCAAAGAGCTTGGTTTTATTGGGCCGCACACATCGGTGTGAATGAGCTCAAGTGGCTTCTGGGCTCTTGTGGTCGACTCCTTTGGAAAGCTTTTCCTGAACTGTTTCCCAAGTAAACATCCTCCACAAACTTGATCAGGGTGGCTGATGCACGGTAAGCCTCTCACCATCTCCTTCTTAGATAATAACTCCAATCCCCCAAAGTTAAGATGCCCAAAACGAAGATGCCAAAGCCAAGATATGTCTTTGTAACATATCTTGAGACACTTTGCAACATCGTTTTGAATGTTCATGGGAAACATCCTATTCTTTGACATTTTTGCCTTGGCAATTAATCTTCCTTTGTCATCTCTAAGAAAAAGGATATAATTTTTCGTATGAAAATCATAACCTTTTTCTAAGAGTTGACCCAAACTCAAAATGTTGCTTTTCATATTGGGCACGTAGTAGACATTTGAAATTAATTGGTGACCGCCATTTTTCAAGGGAATAAGGATGTTACCTTTTCCTTTTACAGGTATTTTGGATTCGTCTCCAAAAGAAACGTTGCCACTCACTGATTCTTTGAGCTCTACGAACATGCTTCTTCTTCCGCACATGTGGTTGCTAGCGCCGGTGTCAAGGTACCATGTATAGTCTTGGTCTCCATCATTGTTCTGGCATGCTAGTAGCACAACGCCATTGTCTTCTTTCTCTTCTTTCACATAATTGACCTTCTCATCAAGCCTATTGCTTGGAGCTCTACATTCCCAAGCAAAATGCCCAAACTTTTGACAATTGTAGCATTGAACTTGAGATTTTTCATACCTCAAATTTGAGCGCCCTCTTCCACGACCTTTTGTTGAGCTTTCTCCTCTATCGTAGTTGCTTTGGTTGTTGAAGTTCCAACCACGTCCACGTCCATATCCACGCCCACCTCCGCGACCTTGGCCACGACTTCTTTCGTATTGGCTTCTCTCGTTGTCGAAGCTTCCTTCTTTCTTCTTTGGCTGAACATGTGTCTTGAGGAGCTGCTCATCATTCCCTTGCCTCTTCTTATGTTTCTCTTCATATGCTTGTAGCGAACCCATTAATTGCTCTATACTAATTTCTTCCAAGTTCTTTGTTTCTTCAATCGTCACGACAATGTGCTCGAACTTGGGGTCCAACGAGCGTAGTATCTTCTCCATAATTCTAACATCTTCTAACTTTTCTCCGTTTCTTTTTAATTGATTGGAAACGGCTAAGACTCTTGAAAAATAATCAGAGATTGATTCAGACCCTTTCATTTGTAGAGATTCGAACTCACCTCTTAGTACTTGAAGACGAACCTTTTTCACTTGTTCGGCTCCTTTGTAAGAGGTTTGAAGCTTCTCCCATGCTTGCTTGGCAGAGGTTGCACTTGAGACTTTCTCAAAGCCATTGTCATCTAATGCTTGGTAGATGAGGTAGAGAGCCTTCTTGTCTCTCTTTCTTGAATCTTTCAAACTCTCCTTCTGGGGTTGGGACATAGTAGCTTCATCTTCTGGCTCAGTGTAGCCTTTCTCCACGACTTCCCAGACATCATGTGCTCCCAAAAGGGCCTTCATTTTGATACTCCAATTATCGAAGTTGTTGTTGTCGAGCACTGGAACTTGGAAGGCTGCCATAGCGTTGCTAGCCATAGCTCTGATACCACTTTGTTGGGGCTTAAAAAGACTTCACTAATTTGGAGATGTTTATCTCACAAAGAAATGAAATGCAGCGGAATTGATAGGCAAGAGAAAGAACACTCAAAGTGTTATACAAAATTTTTTTATTCTCACACAAACTTAGTACAAGAGGAAACACTCTCACACTTCTTGCTCTCTTACTTGCTCTCACTTCTTCTTAGTTCTTGATTGCTTTCACACTTTGTTACATGGATGCATAGCATCACACACCTATTTATAGGCATGTTTGCCGACCTATGCCATCACTAGAGTTTTCTAGTGCATGAACATGCACATACTACACCAACCTAGGCATTTGCTAGATTATTCTAGCTTATTATGCATGCCACCGACATGGGCATTACATAATAACCTATACATTTATGATGGTTCTAGCCTTTTCTACATACAAACCATTTTTCTAGATTTTCTTAAACTTTTCCAACTTTCTACCTTCTTTGCTAGAGTTTTCTAGCATTTTCTCATTGGTTTTGGGTTGGATCACTTGTCTTGGGCCTAAGACAAGATTACTATTCAACAATAGGATCAGTGAATTACCCGTCGAAGTTCTTCGTCACATACTTTCTTTCCTTCCAACGAAATATGCTGTCAGGACCAGCTGTTTGTCTACCAAGTGGAAGAATATATGGGCTTCTGTTCCCATCCTTAACTTCCACCATGAATATTTTTCTGGAGATGCTGGATTTTCGATGTTTGTTGAACGTGTACTTTTCATGCGTGATTCATCAGACATTCAGAGGTTCAGTCTTTGTTGTCGCCAGATTCAGGATTTTTCACGTGTTGATGGTTGGATTCGCACGGCTATTAGGCGTAATGTTGTTGAACTTTCCATTTCTGCCATCTTTGATCGTCTCAGGATTTATGAGTTGCCTAAAAGCCTTTGCATGTGCAAAAGTCTGATGTTTTTGGAGCTACTGTTAAACTTTACTATCAAAGTTCCTACATCCGGGTGTTTTCCAAGTCTGAAGTACCTCTGTGTTATGTTATTTGGCATGGCTGATAAGGATTCGATGAATAGGCTTTTTTCTCAATGCCCTGTACTCGAAGTTTTAACTATAAAAGCAGTTTCAGGGATACGTCATGTAGTCTTGGACATCAACATTTCAGCTCCTGAACTGAAGATGCTAACAATTTATTTGGGCGCAGGAGCTTTGCACAATCTTTTTATTAATGCCCCAAAGCTTGAAAATCTATATCTCTGTGACAACCGTTTGTCAAATTATATTTTTGAGAATGTAAAATCACTAATCAAAGCGGATATAGATCTCAGTGACCAATTTGGAATTTACGATCCTGGCTATGTGAACCGTGTGACTGCACTTCTAGCCGGCATTTCCCATGTTAAATATCTGCGTCTTTCTGCTCCATCTTTTGAGGTAGTTACTCAATACTTCCGTTCTTTGTCCATTGTTTCTGATTCAGTATTTTGGCAGCTTTGCTCCCGTGATATTACTAAGTAACTAGATTGTTCGTATTTATTCTTACCTCTATTGTTGTTCGTATTTATCTTTTACTAGGGCAGAAGGCTCGTTTTTTTTTTTTTTTTTTTTTTTTGGCTTTTCAATTTTGATCGTCACTTTTCTTTCATGAAGGGTTGTTGTCTGCCTGCTTTCGATAGTCTGAAACACTTGGAACTGGATCTTTATGATTGCAACCTCTTCAAATCGATAAACGAGTTGCTCAAGAGATCCCTTAATCTGGAATATCTTGGTGCAAATGTAAGTGTATTTACAAGTGTGCTTTATCAACAGACAACTCTTAGATATTCTCATTTTATTCATACATTTAATAAATTGGCAGTTCAACGAATGTATTGAAGAATACTTGGAGCATCCATGGATTCAGCCAAACTTTGTGCCTAATTGTTTGTTGTCATACCTCAAGACAGTCTCCATAAGGAAATTCGAGGGACGGCAAGCTGATATGGAAGTTGCAAAGTTTTTGTTAAAGAACGGTAAAGTATTGAATAACATGACTATTGCGACAAGTGATCCTCAGTGTGCAAAGGAGGAGCTATACAAGGAATTTTGTATGTTTGAACGGGGATCAAAGACTTGTCAAGTTAAATTTATTTGAGATGCAACCTCAGGCTTTCCAGTGATCTTACTTTTGAAGTCCAATATTTTGGTTTCCAGAAGGATTATGTTATCAAAGCTGCAAATTAAATCATGATCTGAGATGCAGTTTTAGGCTTCTAAAAGATTTTATTTAAAGTTCAGTTAGTGGTTTTGAAAGGATTTGGTATTCAAATTTGTAAAAGCACCATCTGTGTCTGTACAAGATGAATCTGTTTGCAATCGGTTGTTTTCCGTTGTAGAATTTTATTATCAACTCCGTTTACCTTCTTGAACTTAAGACTGATTTGGTTATAGTGACATGCCATGGTGAGTCCGTTCACTCTCGTATATTTGCAATGGAGAATACAAAAATACTACGGCTCCGGGCATTTTACTAAAGATCTTATGGTTAAAAAGTTCGGAGTATCTAATACTTTGCAGTGCTAAATTGGACTCGACAGCGAAAGCTGAATTATGCAATAGAAAGTAACACCAAAGAAAACCTATGGAGAGTATCCATTCATAGGTAATCACAAACTTCCAATTTCGGTGTGAAGTAAACTGTCATTAAGCACTCCTGATCGTAATTTACCGTGCCCTTTCGGCTCATTGCTTCAAGATAGGTTTAGACTAAAATTTATACAACACTACTCGAACTATTAGAGGTAAGCTCAAATAGCGCTACGTACATTTTTTTGTTTGCCGATTTACCACCAAACTCTAATTTTAACGTGGTTGGACCATCTTTGTAAGTTTATGTTAGAAATTCCCCCATAACGCATCACATGTTGAACAAATTAACGAAATTTTTTCCTCCATTCAAATTTAAGTGTAAAACTCGTCAAATATAAAATCTTAAGTGTAAGAACTTGCAATTTATATGAGTCAAATGTATGGCCTCCCAATACTACACCTTAGTACTATCTATTTTTATGTTTATAAGTTTATAAGACCACCTATTACCAAAGTAGAAAGGGTATGTGCATTTGCCACGTAAAGAAATAGAATTTTTGTTAAGGTAAAGAAACAGTTTTTGGCTTGAAGCAATTGTGGTTTTTCCGAAGATTTTGTGGTTTTCACTGTCTTAGGTTTTCTCTCCATTTCTCAGCTGCCAATTAGAGTTTCACCGTTCGCCAACATCTAAACAAGTACTTTTCTGGGCCATCCCAGAATCCCAGAAAGCTCATATCAGGTACTTCACTTCCCATCTTTTTTAACTTCCTTACCATCTGTTTGGTTACCAAGAAAATTGAGAAAATTATATAGAACAATCACGTCTTAACCTTTAGTTTAGATCCGCATCCATCTAATTGATATATACATGCATCCATTCTGTTCTGCTTTGATTTCTCTGTGAATTTAAGAAAACATAAATTTTACATTCGCATCTAGTTTAGAGATCTTGATAATGATTACTCAATGTGTAAGCTTTTCTCAAACTGCCCAGTACTTGAAGATTTGGCTATAGAAGGAACTCGTCGACACGGTGTATTTTTGAATCTCAACATTGATGCTCCTGAGTTGAAGAGATTAAGGATAAGTTCGGAATGTTACGACTATGAGAAAGATGGGGACAAATTTTTTTTTTTTGCGAAATAATTTTTTTATTTTTACTCTTAAATTATTGTAATAATTTCAAATCATCATCCCTCCCTTAATAATAATAAAATAAAAAATTACCACTAAACCGTAATACTACTATCGGTTTGTTTGTTTATAAGTTTTTATGTATAAGACCATTACGTACCAAAGTAAAAAAGGTATGTGCATTTGCCACGCAAAGAAATAGTTTGAGTAATACCATTTATCAGCAAAGTAGAAAAGGTATGTTCATTTGCCACATAAAGAATAGTTATAGGCTCGAAGCAACTGTGGTTTTTCCGATGGGAGTGCTCTTTGTAGTTTTCGCTTTCTTAGGTTTTCTCACAGTTTTATCGGCTGCCAATAAGAGTTTCATCACCGTTCACCAACCAGTAAACTGGTACTTTTCTGGGCCATCCCAGAATCCCAGAAAGCTCATATCAGGTACTTCACTTCCTAACTTTTTTAACTTCCTTATCATCTGGTTTCCCAGAATTGATAAAATTATAGAGGAATAGAAGAATCAAGTTTTAACCTTTAATTTAGATCCGCATCCATTTAATTGACATATACAATTAATGCATGCATTCTGTTCTGCTTTGATTTCTCTGTGAATTTAAAAAAACATAAATCTCATATTTCCTATGAAATATTAAGTGCTATGATCTCTTAAGCTATCCAAGTTACAACATTGGTGCCGTGTTTTTTAGTATAGCTGTACGGCATACAAATATGTTTGAAGTCATTGAAGTCAAAGGGTCGAGCGGGTGTGGAAGATAGCTAGGATCACATACTTCCATTTCTTGAAAGAAATGTTGTAAGTGTTGGAAATTCAAATAAAAACAGGTTGTCAATGGTTAAAGCTAGTTGTTAGTTCTTTCCAGGTTGTTCACCTAAAACTACAAACATCATTGTTCCCTCCATTTGTTAGCCGAAAGGTGATTAAGACAGCAGTGTGCTGCCATGTGATAGCTGAACTTCTTTTGTGTATTGCAAGAAGGAAAGCTGCATGTGTGTGTGCATCCAAAGTTGGTGCATGTGTGAAAGGGTGTAAAGATCATCCAGCCATGTGTAAAGTGTCTAGCAGCTAGTGCTTCATAGCTGACATGTTGTATTCATTTCTGTTTTGTATAAATAGACCATCCGAATCTCACTTCCAATTTTATAAGCTTGTAAGCTTTCTTATTCCATCAGTTTGTAAACTGTTTTAGATATATCAAAGTGTTTGCTTGTTTGTCGTGCAGTTTTGTGCAACACAGAAGCTTGCTTCTTCATTTACTTATTTCTTTCTTTGTCCAATTTTATTGAGAGTGCAAGTGAGAGGTGTGATAGAGTTTGTAAACTTATCACCCACATATTTTGGTATTGAGTTAGTAAACTTTGAATACCAACAGTAAGCACCAGCATTTTGTCCAGGAGATGGAAGAACGTATGGGCTTCTCTTACCATTCTAGACTTCAGCCACACAGATCTTCCATTTCTCGTGGCTTTGTTGAGCAGGTACTATCCTTTCACAATTCATCAGTCATTCAAAAATTCTGTCTTCACAGTGATTGTCCTCCGAAATCATCAGTTCCTCTCGTTTAAAGGGTTGGATTCGCAACTGCTATTAGGCATAATGTTGATGAGCTTGATCTTTCCACTGGTCGACACCAAAATTTGAAGTTTCCTCAAAGCCTTTTCACTTCCAAACACTAAAATGGTTTTGAAACTGGGGTCAGATTTTATAAACAGTTTTCCTAGATCAGGGTGCTTCCCAAGTCTCAAGGTCCTTCAAGTTAGATTTAGAGATCTAGTTACTGATGAGTCAATGTGTGAAGTTTTCACAAAATTCCCTGTACTTGAAGATTTGGTTATAGAAGGAACTCGTCGATGTGGTGTAATTTTCGATCTCAACATCAATGCTCCTGAGTTAAAAAGGTTAAGGAAAGTTTGGAGTGTAATAATTTGGAGGTAGATGGGGACAACTTTATTTTTGCTCCAAATATTGACCTAGATCACCGCTATGCCAATGCATTATCACCCCGGTTTGCTGGTTGTGCAACTGTGCTTTTGGCAGGGATTGCAATGTTAAACATCTATACCTTTCAGCTCATCCTTTGGAGGTAAGTATATCCGAATTCCTTTCTTTTACAGTTGTAAAAAGGAAACATAAGAGGTAATTTCGAAGGATGGAAGAGTTGTGGGGTGAGGCATTCATGCTGGCTTATTATTTTTAATTTTTTTTTTCAAATTTAGACTTGATGAATTTGCAGGAATGAAGAAATTAAGTAGTACATAATTAAGTTTGGCTGCTTTGGAAAGCAAATCAAAAATAATAATTAAAATAAAAGAACAGATTCGTAAATGAATAAGAAGTTTACCGTCTGTATTCGCATATGTCCTTCCATGATATACCAAAGCACGTCAAGGAAAAGGACATCCTTGCATCCTCTACTTTTCCATATTTTGCCCCATATCGATTGTTCTGATTATTCTTTATTTGTTCTAAACATAGTGTTTTCTACTTGCCTTTTTTCTTATTATGGAAATTTATGATTTGCGATATTTTATAGTGCATGAGCAAATTCTTAGTTTTCGGCGCGAGTTTATCTTTGATCGATGCTCTCTCTTTCATGAAGCCTTGCTTTCTGCCCGCTTTTGATAATTTTAAGCACTTGGAGTTTGCTTTCTATGAATTCAAATCACTGGATAGTGCTAATAGAGTTGCTCAGGAGATCAACAAAGCTGGAATATCTTGCCCTACAACTTCATGATGTAAGCTGTATTTCCTCGTCTGCTACGCAATATCTGCATGCTGCTCCTAATGACTCTCATTTTATTCTTTCTTTAAATGAATGCCAGGATTTTGCCAGTGATAAATATTGTGGATACCCAGAGCGTGAATTGAGTCCACCCGAGTTTGTGCCAGATATGTTTGTTATCACACCTCACGACCATCTTGATAGTGCGATTCTAGGGAAGAGAGGATGAGATGGAAGCGGCAAATTATTTGTTAAAAGTTGGTGCAGTTTTGCATAAGATGATTATTAACCTTAGCATTGAATCTCAAGAAGAGGACGCATAGATTAAAGTTTGAAGGTTTTGAAGGGGTTCCAACAACTTGTCAAATGTCAAGTCGAATCTGATTAAGATGAGTTTTTTTTTTCCAGGATATTCTGCTTGAAGTTCGATTCTATGTTTTTGAAAGGTCCTGGTTGGCAATAATATATTAAAGCAACGTTGTTATTCTTAAGATGAAACTATTTGTTGTGGGCTCTTTTATATCTGAAGATACTTGCATTTGCATTCGTGCCATGGTCATATTAACGAGAAGTGAGAAGAGAGAAAGCTCTATGTCGGAGACAATGAACACGCTTCAACCTTCAGAAAACATTTCCGCATTTCTCTTTTCTTCATGCTTCGTGATTCTGTTGTATGCAATTAAGAAGTACACTATAACAATTTAAATTTGGAACTTGTTTTGATTCTGTACAGGGAAGTAAAAGGTAGTTGTAACTTGTGTAAGAGCATTATCTGAATGAAGACAATGCATATTAGATTTCTATCTCATTTCAACAATGTGAAAGAAGGTGAAATGTTGAATCTCCATGTTTCAACAAATAGGAGGGCCAAAGTCACGTCACGTCTAGGGAGAAGTACCACCAATGCTTTCTTCACCAAGTTCTTATCAAAACGGGCTTTCAAAGGGAAAAGATGGATGAACAAGCGAAATTAAGTTGTGCTTGTTTCATCCCTACATCAACTGACTGTTTCCCAGGCTGAAACAATCATCGCTAACCTCGTGCTCCTAAGGGAAATAGTGAATGCACTACTTCTCAGTGCACTTGGACGGGTTTCTCGCACACACCTTGCAAACAGATAGAATTTATGTAAAAGAATGATTCTTGCTCTCGTTGGATTTGGCTCTTCAGTGTGCAAACGAGGAGCTATTCAAGGAATTTGATCCTAATTATTCGACATTACAAGTACTACTTCGATATCTCTTTTTTTAGTTTTAGTTTCATCACCAACAGTTTTATTTACGACAAATTTTACCATTTTTTGCATTTTCTTTACATTTAATCAAAAATGTTTTATCTTAAAAAAATTTACCTTTTTCTTTTTATTAATAAAAAATAAATTCCAAATTTTAGTTTTTTCCTTAAGATTCAAACACCATTTTCACCATTTGTCATCATCTTTAAGTTTGCAAATTATCAATCTTACCTTATCCATTTGTGGTCAAAATCGCATTCTTTTTCAGAGTTTAGAAATTTTGTGAATAAAAAAATTAGATCTTAAACAGATCTTACCAGGTCAAAAGTTCTTACTCTTTCGATTTAGATCCGCATCCATTTTCATGTACATAAGTAATTGAAAAATCGTTTTTATTTTGATTTTATTGAATTCAAAAGAACATGCCCTATTCGAATATAGAGGAAATTTTTTGAGTTCAAGAAAGCAAAGAAGAATCTTACCATGTAATCTTAGCGTCAGTTACAATTTGAGGTTTGTCCGCAATAAGGGTTTTTTTATTTTACAAGGATACTTTTCACTTTCATATTGCTTTCCTCTGCCGATTTTCTCAGCTGCCATTTTCACAATTTTATCGTCTCAACCATGAATTGATTCACTTTTTCTTTATAGTCCATTGATCCAGAAAATTCATTAAGGTACCTTTCTTTGAAAATTTTCTGAATTTTATGACATTTACATCGTTTTTTTTTTCAATTCGAAACATTGACCATCTGTTTTTTGGATCTTTGAGAAACAACAGATTGAATAATTTTAGGAGATATTTTTTGTTATTATTAGAAAAAAATATCAGGATACTTAGACCCTTTATCTTTTTAGGTCAAAAGTTTCTTTCTTCGATCAAATGTTGTAATACCGGCATTTTGTCTAGTAAGATAAGTAATTGAAAAATTCTATTTTTATATCATTTTGATTTCTATCTCTTCTGGGCAAAGAACATGATTTTAATTTCGTTGAGCGTGTATTTGTTTCTTGTTGTTCTGACTAATATCGTGGAAACTTTTTTATTAAAAAAAAAAGAATGAAAATAGATTTGTTGAACTTATAATCTTTATGTAATTTTTTTAGGTCAGAAGGCCTTACTCTTCGATTTAGAAAGCTATCATTTTCTTAAAATAACATGTAATTTGAAAAATTTTTATTTTTTATTTTATTGATACAAGGGTAAGAACATGCTTGTGCTTTTATCTGCTTTGATTTGTTTTTTATTAGATAAGTATGTTTATGAATTTTTCTTCTATGATTTTTAAGTAGAAAGCTGTAAGCTTTTTAAAAGGTTAACTTATTTACATGTGTTACCATGTTTTTAGGGAGTGTTGTCTTTGAAATGTACTTTTAGAGATAGGATCAGTGAATTACCAGACGCGTTGCTTTGCATGCTTCGTTTCGAAACAAAATGTTGTGTGTTGTTTAGAAGATGGAATGGATGGATGCTAATATAGACATCTGCCGTGGGCATTTCTCTCGCTCTGGTGACCTTTTTAATTTTTGAGCGTTTGTACCATCATCAGACATCCAAAAATTTCCGTCACTTTTGTGGTGACGACGTCATTCAATGATTCTGCAATTGATCGGGTTCAAATGTTTGTTAATCCTGTAAACTTTATCTATTCTTTATTGAAACTTCTATAATCAGCAAAATTTTGCAATTGTGCAAAGGGTTCTTAATTGGGTTCAAATTTCCGCATCCCGCATCAGGTTGTCTTCCAAATCTCAAGTTCCTTCGGGTTGTACTCGAAGAGCCTACTAATGACTCTTTGAAGCTTTTCTGCCTGAGCTATAAGAAGGTTCTCATCGATATGGTGTAGTTTTCAATTTCAACATCATTGCTAAATGAAAGGTATAAGATTGATTGATAAAGATGGGGACATTTTTTTTAATTTAGCTCCCAAGCTTGAAACGTTTGATCTCAGAGAGGAGGGTTTCTCAATTTACCATTTGGAGAATGCAAACTATCTCTTCAAAGCCAAGATTTATCTTCCTGAACATTATGCAAGTGCATTAGCACCGTGCTTTGTTGAGCGTGCAAGAAGGCTTCTGGCGGGGATTCACAATGTTAAGCATCTAACCCTTTCAATTCATCTTTTGGAGGTAAGTATATTATTCTTTATTTGTTCCAAACCTATTGTTTGCGGTTAATGCCTTTTTCTCGTTTTGGAAAATTTATGATTTGAGATATTGTATAGTGCATAACCAAATGTTTAATTTTCTGCAAAAGTTTATCTTTGATCAGTACTTTGTCTTTCATGAAGCCTGGCCTTCTGCCCGCTTTTGATTATTTGAACCACCTGAAGCTGGATCTTTATGAATGCAATCACTGGAATTTGCTAACAGAGTTGCTCAAGAGATCACCAAAGCTGGAATATCTTGTCATACAACTTTATGACGTAAGCTTTATCTCCTCGTCTGCTACATAATACCAGCATGCTCTTAATGATTCTCTTTTGATTCTTTCCTCAAATAACTGTCAGGGTTTAATCTGCGACGAAGATTATGGACACCTGGAGCACGGATGGAATCCACCAGCTTTTGTGCCTGTCTGCTTGTCATTGCACCTCAAGACCATCTCAATATTGCGATTCGAGGGAAGGGAGGATGAGATGGAAGCGGCAAAGTATTTGCTGAAACATGGCAAAGTTTTGAATAGGATGAATATTCTTACCAATTACTTTCAGCCGAAAAAAAAAGAGTTATATAGGGAATTTTGTTGGTTTGAAAGGGGTTCGAAGGCATGCCAAGTGGAATTTGAGCATGATGAGTTTTAGGGATTTTATTCTCTGTTTTAGAAAGGTTCTTTTGGCAAAGAAAACTAAAGCAAACTATGTAGTTCTTCTTAAGATGGTACTGAATAATCTATTTGCATTTTAGTTTCAATATTTTCGTTTGTATTGGAAATTGGTCTTTCAAGATATTGCTGCCCCTTTCCGTATTAATGTTGTCTGCTTCGTTGGTTTGGGCATTGAGCCCCCTCTCAACCAAAAGAAATGATTTTTGTACACGTTTGTTTCTCCTTGCGCACATTCATGTTTAAACTGGTCCTTTATTGTCTTTTGCTGTACTCGATATAAAGGTCGGCAGATAAACATAAGTGTGCATAAATACTAGTGTTGTGGAAATTATTTTCTTTTAACGAAATCTTAAAGCTGCAAATGACGATTTTACAAGTAAAATCGCTTTTGACTACATTTGAGTACAATACACAACAGTACTGTCTAAAGAACTTGCTAAGTGTGTGTTAATGAAGCACTTTCAAATACTTGTGTAGAAAGAAAGTACTTGAAACTTTTATGAATTTCAAGATGTCAGTAAAACTAAAGTACCCTCGAATAGAAGAAAGAAGTACCGAGTTTCGAAACTTTGCAAGGATGGGAGAGCCTGAGACGTTCACGTTGACAACAATACTACGGTTCTCATTTTCTTGGATTTTCCTACCGTTTCTCAGATACCAATCAGAGCTTTTACTATTCATTGGCCGGACCAGAAGCGCTTATTAGGTAATTTTTCTTCGTAACTTTTTTACTTCTTTACCTTCTGATTCGTTATGATCTGTTTGGTTACCACAGAAACTGAGGGGGAAAAAACAATAGAGCAATAGTAGTAAATTCAAGTATTAACCTTTGAATTTTTCATCTCTGTAAACAATTTGATGTTTGCTGTTGCTTGTAGTTCTAGAACTAATGTTCCTGGAAAAATTCTCCATTTAAGAAACCAAACTTCATGCCGCAGCTAAAGATAGGATCGGTAAACTACCAAATGGAGTTCCTTGTCACATACTTTCGTTCCTTCATACAAAAGGTACTGTGAAGACCACGGTTTTGTCTACAAGATGGATGAATGTATGGGCCTTTACTCCCAATCTGAACTTCAACGATAGAGATTTACGTTGGCTTGACTCTGCTGCTTTCATGGGATTTGTCGACCATGTGCTTCTCTTTCATGGCTCATTGAACATTCACAAATTCTCTCTTCGTTGGTCTGATGCCGAGGATTTAGCTTGTATTGTTGGTTGGATTCACATCAGGCATAATGTTGTTGAACGCGATCTCCTCCATCTTTATGTAAATGATGTAGCTGACGGCCTTTTTGAGTTGCCCCAGTGCCCTGTCACGTCCAAAACACTGGTGGTTTTGAAGTTGATGTGAAATTTTATTACCTCCATACTCCTCCCACCTCTGGATGTTTCCCGAGTCTCAAGTTCCTCCCCGCTACAATTGACTATCCTGATAACGAGGTAGGTCTGCCCTAACTTGTTCCCTTTACACTATGTCCACTAGAGGATTATAGAAGGAAAAGAAAGGGGTAGCCGGAAAAAGGAAGGAAGAATGGACGGGTGAGACTTAAGCTAATTACTTATTAAGTTTTGGTTGAAGGGAAATTACAAAGGAAAAAGTTGAAATTACATAAGGAGATGCTTTTACATATAAAACCACTTAGGATCTTCACTTAGCCTGTCAAGAGCATTTTTGTAATTTCATTACTTTGATGAATAAAATACATGAAAATAAGGGACAGGTTGTAACAATATACAACAGCTTCATGCAAGTATATCTCTTGTAATCGGTTCATGCAAGTATATCTCTTGTAATCGGTTTGGAGGAGGCTTCTCGCTGTTTAAACCCAATTTGGCTAACCCATCAGCTGCAAAATTACATTATTTATGAACATGTTGCAAATTACAACTCCATCTCGCTAATTAAACTCAATAATAACATAATATGATAATCCGATCACTTTTCATTAATATGACAACTTTTCAAGAATATGATAATCATTCAACAACTTTACAACTAGCTAGGGGAATAAAAAGACTGCAGGTAAATGCCACTAGCAAGATTATGGTGGAGTTTGGGTGGAGACGGTGGTGGTGTGGTAGATTTTCAAAGGATTGTGAAATGTTGTTTTATAATTGGGATTGGATGTCCTTTAATCACATATGTTTGTATTAATGTCACTCATACGAGCTTCATAACCTCTCGGATTTTTTCTTTGATCCGATGCACCATTCCACGGTGTAGAGCGATTTTCACACATGAGGTGCACAGAACAAGGGGAGGAGTTTTCTCTTCCTTTTCTGTAGAGAGGAAGAGTGGAGGAGTGTGGCCTGCATGCAGACCCATCATATTCAACCCCCTTAAAAACTGGACAGATTGGGGGAATGAAACAAATTAAATCGCAATACAGTTTGATGCAAGCTCGAATGGTAAACATGGAAACATAAAGTCGGTGCTCTTACTTCCCGGTACATTACTACATGAAGCTTACAATTTGAGCTTGCATCAACCCGCACGCAGCATATGATGCATGCGAGCCTAATTTCGGAACATCTTTAACAGCTTAAGTCTTTGAAGCCTACCCAAGATATGTCAAATAAGAACATGCATTGTGCCGTAATAATATTAGAAACTGGCTCTTACAGTCAGAAACAAAGGATTAAGCAGCAATTCACGGACTCCCGTCAACACATCTAACAAGGAGGTGCCCGATTCTTTTCCTACTTGCATTGAACAGATTCAAACAGGAAACGAACAATATATGCATATACATATGCCAAAGTCAGAAACATCTGATCAAATGAAAAACATAAAGCAATTACTAAACTAGCTCAAAAATTGCAACTAACAAAGCATCACAAGCAAAAGCTTTCCACGACATCGATCCAATCCCTAACTATGACCGATTAAAACCAGCAAGCGATCCAAGTTTCTAAAGTTACCCAACATTGTAAACAATTTCTACTACGCTACTAAACGCATCAAAAGCCCGACATTTCGATTTTCATCTCTGAGTTTCAACATCTCCATTCCATTCCACAAACTTGCACTGAACAACAATACATGTATATACAGATGCCGAAGTCAAAACATCAGATGAGAAACGTAAAGCAATTACAAAACGAGCTCGTAAGTTCAACTAACAACACATCAACACGAAAAGTTATCCACAATATCGACCGAAATCCTTAATTATGTTCCATTAAACCAGCATTCTAATCCAAACTTCTAAAGCTACCCAACATTGTAAACAATTGTACTGAAGCAACAGAATATCAGCAACAATGTCGAATTCCAATCCATCTAAGCACCCCTAAGATTCAATTGCCTAGCAATCTCATATGAAATAAAAGCGTCAACAGCAGCATACCGAATCTGAGCATAAGTAAGCCACTGATTGTCCCACCTGCTCAACGTCACACTCTTCGGCTTCTCCAGCTCCTTCCCCAGCACCGCGCTTGCCAACCGCTTCAACCCGAAGTTCCTCAGCTCCCAAACCCCCAACCTATCCGCTGCTAAACCCCGAAGATCAACAACGTTGGCGACGCGCAGCCTGTAGTCTGAAAGCAGCTTCTCGCAATCGCTCTCGATGCCGACGCCGACGAACGTGAAGGCAGGATTGGCGAGGAAAGTGGATAGGGAATGGGGAATCAATTCGGAGTGTAAAATCTGGAATATTAGGCAATTGGGGTCCAAGCAGACGCCGGGCAGCACCATGCCTGCCGGGATTTGAAGGGAGCCGGGGTAGTTGGGGCCGGTGCAGAGCTGCAGGGTGGCGATCGGGTTGTGGTAGTAGCGGTTGTTGGGGCGCCACTCGACGTCGAGGCCAACAATGCGGTGGTTGGGGTTGGCGGGAGTGACGTTGGAGAGCCACGATTCCACCATGGCTGAGTTGCTGGTGACCATGGTGTGGACTCTGTCGTTGTAAAACGACACGTCGTACACGTTGTGGGTGTCGTACGGTAGCTCGTAGTCCACGATGCTGATCGCCATCCTCCTCTGGGATTGGTCAACGCGAGGGTTGGGTTTTGATAAAGTGGAAAACCGACCCCAAACGGAGCGTTTTGAATTCCAACGGTTATAAATAGACCCGTCGGCTGTCGCATGCATACAATCACTCGCAGGCTGCAGGTATCACCCTCGTCGTCAGCCACCGGAGAAAGATATTTCCAATTTTAATTCGCATGTATGATCAACTACATGTACTCCGATGAACGACTGCAGTATGACCACTAAACAAAACAACTTGAAAGCTTTGAGTTCGAAGGATAAAAGGTAAAATAAAGGGTTAAAGTGAATTATATGAGGATTGACTTTTAAGGGTAAAAATATGGTTTTTCATTAAAGTGAACAGTACTAAAGTTTTTCGTTAAAGTTCCCTATTTCCAATTGTAATTTACATGTAATTAATTGATTGAGTAAATTGTAGCTATAATTCATTAACTTTAACTCAATTGGGGGAATGGTCTCTCAACTAAAAATTCATTACTATTGGTCAATCAACTCATCAAAACGTGCAGCTATGGTCCCTCAACTAAAAATCTATTATCATTGGTCCCTTAATTTTAACCTAATTATAGCAATGGTCCTTTCAACATAACTCGTTTTGACAAAAATGATCATAATTACACATTTTGATGAGTTGAGGGATCCTAATTGTATAAATGGTCATTCCAACATAACTTATTTTGACAAAAATTTGATGAAAATGATGAAAATGATTATAGCTACATATTTTGATAAGTTGAGGGATCAATGGTAATTGATTTTTAGTTGAGAGACCATTGCTCAAATCTGATTAAAGTTGAGGGACCATTGCTACAATTTACTCTAATTGATTAGTTCTAGTGTTTGAAATTTCGGCTAAAATATCGACAACTACAATAACAAGTTTCATTTTAAATTTCAACATTTTCAGAAATTTTCTATCATTTCCATCGAATGCAACCCATATCGATATCAATATATAGCTCCTCACTTTGGTCCCTGAGACAAAAATCGATAAAATTGGTTTTTGAGTTTATCCATGATCGATCATTTTGATCATTTCGTAAAAAATCTCTGTTACGTAAGGAGAAAATCATAGAGTTACCCTCAATTTTTGACAAATCATTTTGGCCAATTGTTTATTATATTGAGGGTATTTTTGATATTTTGGTTTTTATTTAAAAGAGATTTTTTTCACAGAAAAACCAAAATAAGTGATGGACAAACTCATGACTACTTCTATCGATTTCAAATTAGATACTAAAGTGAGGAATTATGCCGTTATGATGGACTAGTTTGGGTAAAATGCCAATAAGAAATAATCTAACAACCTTTCGATTTTATCTGAATCTATGGTGAAACTCGTGAAACTCAGTCCAACCAAGTCTATTTGGTTGGCCAACAGGTTGAAATTGAACTCGACCAACCCACCTGATGGTTCCATTAGACATACGTATGTGAGTCTCACATCTTGTGGTTATCGTCCAAATAAACTAACTTGAAAGCCAAAAGCAAAGCAAAGAGTGTGAAAGGTGAGAAAAAAAACCGTGTGTGCAAATCACCTCCGTTAAAGGAACCAAATTGTAAAACACTCTAAAATTTGGGTGGGTAATTGTAAAATAGCTTAGTCTGTGTGGTAATTACCACAAAAGTGGAAAATTCATGTGGTAATTGTGCAATTTTCCATGGAAGCAAAGGAGGAAAGAGCTACAGCGCTGCGTTTAAACTTTGACAGTTGCAGTTGCAGAGATGGTATGAGAAGGGCAAACAGCCACAATCTCTCCCGGTTTTCTCAGCAACCAATCAGCTTCTTCACCGTTCACCAAAGCTAGCATTTTTCTGGTCCTCTTTCGGTTTCTTTAATTTCTATGCAATTTCATATCTTTTCGGTTTCTTTAATTAGGTTACAAATGAGTTGTTGTTCGGAATCCAAGATTCGAGCCGGAGGTAGAGATAGGGTCAGCAAGTTACCGGATGCAGTTCTTTATCGTATACGTTCGGTTCTTGTACCAAAAGATGCTGTGAGGACTAGCACTTTGTCTACAAGATGTATGGGCCTCTGTTCCCAATCTGAACTTCGACAGTTGAGATTTCTCCTCCTCTACTGGCTTTTCAGAGTTTGTTTATTGTGTGCTTTTCTTTCGGGAATCAACATGCATAAAAAAATTCCGTGTTTTTTATTCCCTTGCCGAGGATTTTAGCCAGGATTTCTCTCATGCTCATGGTTGGATTCGCACTGCCATTAGGCGTAAAGTTGCGGAACTTGATCTTTTGGTTGAATCAGATGATGGTGAGATGTTGTTGTTGCCTTTTGAACCTGTGGTGGAGAAGGTTTATGGCTAATATCCCTACGTCTGGTTGTTTCCCATGTCTCAAAGTCCTCCATGTTACATTTCATTATCCTCAAAATCACTCTGTAAGTCCCCCCTTTACTTGAAGATTTGAACTTTGACTGAGATCTTGGAGAAGTATTTAGCTTTGACATCTCTGCACATGAACTGAAGTGGATAAGAATAAGTTTTTAGAACTCCATTTGGTCTTCCAAGTTACAAAGCTTCAAAAATTTCATCTCAACGAGGGCCTTTTGTCAAAATATATCCTGGAGGATACAAAACCCCTAGTCGAAGCCAAGATTTTTGTCAATTGGAGGTACCAAGACGATGAACAATATGCATTTGGTAACCGTATGCATAAGCTTCTGGCCGGAATTTCCACTGCCGAATATGTATTTTTAGGGTTATATTTTTAAGGTAAGCATATCCTAACTTGTTCTGTGCATTACGTACTGTCATTATGTATGATAGATTGAAAGAAACTCACTACTATTGTTTTGGTAAGGAAAGGAAATAATAAAGATGCTTAATGCCACCTGCATGAAAAGATTTTCACTTGCATTATGGCAGGTACCAAACATAGCTTTATAACTGAAGTCTTTTTCCCCTTTCGGCAACTATGATTCCAAATAGTATATTATGCATGACCAAATGTTTCATTTTCACATGAATTTCTGTTGGATTAATGCTTTATATTTCACAAAGGAGTTTTGTTTACTTGAGAAAATTGATACTGCTTGCTCCTATCTGCTGCTTCTGGTTGAAACACCTAATAGAGTCACTCAAGAGTACACCTGGCCACATCCAATGAAGAATGCTTAGGCGTAATGCTTGAAGAAATCTGATATATATATCCGTACAGCTTAATTGGAGTGCATCAGAATTTCTACCTTCTTGTTTGTTATCACATCTCAAACTGTCGCTATAAGGGCAGTCAAGGCACGACTAGATGAGATTGAAGTAGCAAAGTATTTGCTTAAGAATGGTGAAGTCTTGAAGAAGATGACTTTTCATGCTCCTGAATTTGGATTAACAAAGAGAAGGTATACAAGCAAATTTTAATGTTTTGAAAGGGGTTCTAAGACATGTCAAGTTGAATTTATCGAAGTGACACTGTTGGCTTTATAAGGGTTTTTATCTAGGAATTTAATTTTAGCTTTGTTGATGTTTGAAATGGAAACAATGGATGCTTCGTTGAAGATGATCTTTTAGCATGAGTCTGTTATCAAAGGTGAACATAAATATGCAGTCTTTGTTTTTCGTTGCATAAATTCTTCATATACTGTAGAATTAAAATTGCTTAGGACTTGGAGGGGGGTCATATGTGAATCTCAGGCTCTATGCAATGTTTAGAGTGAAGAATTTGGTCCTGTTGGTCTGGTGTAGCCCAAAGTGGCTCACTTTATGGGTGCACATTATTTTCTCAATTTTTATTATTTCAGTATGAATAGGATTACTTATTTTCTTCCTGCTATTGTGCAAGAAACCATAGAGGGACTCAATAAACAAGGAAAATTTACATAGATAGAATATTTCTAACAAAAACGGACAACTTATGAATTCTAATAAATACAAAATAGAACTGAGTGGACGGAACCCTAAAGTGTTCCAGGTATAAATAGATCTTTATTGACCCCTCAGCCCCCTCAAACTTTCCGCCAGATGAAACTGAAAACCTAAAGATCAAAATTTTGAACCCCAATTGGCACTCGCACCTCTTTAAGACGACGAATCAAAGGTCTTACAAGCCTCTACAAGAGCAAAGGTGAGCAATAATTGAAACCCTTAAGTCTTATTTTGAAACCCCCTTCCTTTTCCTTTGTGGTTTGTCACAATGAAATGCATGTTTGGAATGTAATCTTTTTAATTCAATTATCAGCTGAAAAGAATCACTGATTGCGAGAAATCCAAGGGTAACAGGCATATCATCTTATATATAGGATTCCAACTAGGAAAGAGCTTCATCCCAAATTACTGCATCAGAACAATTCAAATTTCATTGCATGTTTTGCAAACTCTCATCCAATTTCTGCATGTTTTAGGGAGGTGGTAGTGCAAAGGGGAAGGGCCATTTCCACCATAACTTCCCCCTTGTCTTTACTCATTATGTTGTTCAATTGTTTTTAGTACGAAGTCAAATGTGTGTTCTGTTTTGTGCTTCACTCTCGTACTTCAGAGTTGCAGAGATAGTGGTGGTGACAACCAATTCATATTTTCCCCGGGCCATCACAGCAGCTCAGCTCTCACCAGGTATAACATTTTGACTTCCTTACCATTCTCATCTGTTTGGTTACCAAAACTGCCAAATTAAAAGAGGAATAAATAAATTTAAGTCTTACAGTTTCTGTTGATTGTCTCTAGAAAAAGATGAAATCTTTATTTTGTTGATTCTATTTCCTCATTGAATAAAGCATCCAGAACAATGTTGTGGTATGGAATATTTTCTTCTTGGATCTGTTTGTTTCCATTAAGTAATAAAAATTTCTTGGCAAAATGGAATTTCATGGGTGGAATATATCTGTGAAAGGCAATTATCATTCGAAGACATTATGGTTAAATGCAGTGTTATAGCCGCCATTCTTTGTAAATTCTTGATATGAAATATCAAAATATATTATACTAAAATTTTGGCGCATTTACTTCCCCATTAGATTCTAGTAACCATATGCAGAGCTTAAATAAAGATTTTATTTGTTTACTTTTTTCAATTTTAACTGAAGGGTACAAATGAGTTTGAGGCCAAAGCGTCAAGGAGTTAGTGATAGGATAAGTGAATTACCAAATGATGTTCTTTGTCGCACACTTTCATTTCTTCCAACGAAGTACGCTGTGAGGACCACCGTTTTGTCAAAGATATGGAAGAACATATGGACTTCCGTACCCAATCTATACTTTTGTGACAATGACTACCCTGATGTTAATGCCTTTATGGCATTTGTGGATCGTGTACTTGACTCTCATGACTTATCACGCATCCAAAAATTCTGTCTTCATTCTTCCTGCTTCGACATCGAACCGTCTATTCTTAATCGTTGGATATGCACTGCAATTAGACACAATGTTCGTGAACTTGATCTTTTTGTTCACTCAGATGCAGAAGATTATTTTGAATTGCCTCAGACCCTTTTCACGAGCAAAAACCTAGAAGTTTTGAAGCTGCAATTCAATTTTATTGCCAATCCTCCTGCCTCAAAGTGTTTCCCAAGTCTCAAGTCACTCTGTGTTGTAATTCAGCATCCTGAAAGTATCTCAGTGAAGATGCTTTTTTCTTACCTCCCTGTACTTGAAGATTTGGAAATACGGGGATACCTTGAATATTATGATGTAGATGTCAACGTCTCAGCACCAGAACTGAGGAAATTAGGAATAAATTTAGCGTATGGAAATGCTGATGGTGGCAATGATCATAAGTTATGTGTTAATGCTCCAAAACTTGAATCCCTTGACGTCAAGCTGGATAGCCTGTCAAAGTTTTTATTGTTAATCAATGCAAATTCCGTCGTCAAGGCAAATGTTGACCTCCTGTACGAAGAACTGTCCAATGGTGGATCTGCAGATGTGGAATATAGTCTCGAGTATAAAATGCAGGCTGATCGTGCCATTGATATTCTGAAAAATATCTCCAATGTGAAGTACCTGTCTCTTTCAATTCGTAATTTGGAGGTATGTTGTCTTTGACTGGTTTCGATACGTTATATTTGGGACAGAATTATGTGTAGCAAATGTTCAATTCTTGCATGAATATCTTTTGTGATCTTTACTTGATCCTATTTTGATGTAGGGTGATTTGCCTGCTTTTGACAATTTGAACCAATTGAACCTGGTTTTTTATGATTGCGGTTACTGGGGATTTCTAATAAAGTTACTCAGTAAATCACCTGACCTACAACATCTCGTCTTTGAACACGAGGTAAGATGTACTTCCACTTATGCTACTTGTTTAATAACATGGTAGCCTTTTGGATTCTTATGCTTTCATTCGTTCTTTTGAATACCTTTTAGGATTGTAGCATATGCAATGAAGTAGACTTCCGGCAAGTACTTAATCCACCAAAGTTTGCGCCGCTTTCTCTGATGGTGCACCTCAAGACAATCACTGTAAACGGATTCAAGGGAAGGCGGGAAGAGGTGCAAGTGGTAAGGTACTTGTTAGAGAACGGGACATTTCTACAAAAGATGATCATTTCTATTAAAGGGATTCCAGGTCATCTATTTGACAACTTATACAGGGAAATTTTACAGTTTCCAAAGGTGTTCGATTGTCATGTTGAAATGCGATTGTGGGTTTCAGAATTGAATTATTATCCAGTGTGTTTCTAGGGTTTCGTTTTAGAAGGTGATCGGACGTTTGCAGTTTGTTTTTCTCTGGTATATTTTCTTGTATCAACTTTCGATAGGTTCTTCAGACTCTCTGGGAATTCGACTGTGGACTTACCTACGGTGATGATGATGATGATAGAAGGGGCAATATATAATACTGTTTTGCAGACGTTGCCATTTTCTTGAACAGTTGTTAATCTAGTATCTTTGTAATGCCTTTTTTTCTCCATTGTTAACATCCAAGGATAAAGGGACTATTTTTACGCTCATTTTGAGCGATTAGATTTTGTAACATTCAAGGGTCATGATTACAAGTGGTAAGAGAATGAGCTAAACATCACAACGAAAGTCATTTCTGCTCTTCGCTAGAGAAAGATGTAATCCTGAGTAGATAATCTTTAGTGGGGTTTGATTGTTTCGTTTCCCTGATCGATTACAATTATACTTGAACCTTTTCATCTAGGATCTGTTTGTTTCCATAAAGCAAGCGTTGAAGATAGGATTGGTGAATTACCATTACCAATGGGTTCGATATCAGACCATCAAGCAAGCGTTGAAGACAGGATCAGTGAATTACCTGATACGATCCATTGTCACATTCTTTCCTTCCTTGAAACGGTACATGCTGTCAGAACCACCGTTTTGTCTACGAGATGGAACAACATATGGAAAGTTCCTAATCTACACTTTGATTATATGCCAAGTTTCTGTCCTAAATATGAAGATGAAGATGCAGATGCATGTCGCAATCATTTTATGACTTTCGTTGATCGTGTACTTTTCTTTCGTGACTCGTCAAAAATCCAAAACTATACTCTCAGCTGTATCCATGAGTCTGATTTCACTCGAATTGATGGTTGGCTTTGCACTGCCACCGGGCGTAATGTTGTTAAACTTGATTTTCATCTTCTTCTTCTTTACAAGTATGACCGCGGGGTTACTTTTGAGTTTCCTGAAAGCCTTTTCAAGTGCAAAACATTGGAGGTTTTGAAGCTTTCTTCCATCAGGGTGTTTTCCAAGTCTCAAATTCCTCCATATTACACTTCATATTTCTCTTGACAACTCTGTCGAACAGCTCATTTCTTGTTGCCCTCTACTTGAATGGTTGACTATTGATGGACTTATTGGCACTCGTGGAGATTCTGTGGATGTTAATTTCAACATTTCTGCGTCTAAATTGAAGACTTTGACAATAAGTTTGTCAGCTTGTCCCACAAGCCCGTACAATGTTTTAATTAATGCTCCAAATCTGAAAAGCATTAATCTTAGCCAGAATACTATGGCCTATTACTCTTTCGAGAATGTATGCTCTCTTGTCAATGCCAATATTGTTCTCGAAGCCTGTCGAGAAAAGGAACGAAGTACTGTCTTTGCCAATCGTGTCATTGCACTTATGGGAGCAATTTCCAATGTTAAACATCTTTCTCTTTCAGGCGAATGTGCAGAAGTAAGTATACCCTGACTCATGTTCCTTTATACTATTGCTTGTAGAGTTGTGTACCTTCTTTGATATCGATATATCTTAGTGTTCTTTCTTCCCTAAACATCGTGGGTGTTGTCATACGCCTTTATGATTTGAAATAGTAGGCGAAGTAAATTTCTGAATGTGTTTATGTTTGATCAATGTTTGATCAATGTTTATATATTTCATGAAGGGTTGTCGTCATCAATACTTCCTCCCAGAATACTTCCTCCCAGAGGAGTTGGTTCTGCAGGATTGCTATTTCTGGGATTTGCTACCAGCAGTGCTCCAGATATCACATAATCTACAACATCTTGTCTTGGAAGATGTGAGTATGATCGATGTGTTTACACTCTGTGTTTTATGCCAACTTGCACCTGTTAAAGTTTTTCATTTCACTCTTTTTGAATAACTGTCAGAGCACCAATTTAGTTCAAGGTTCTCAGAGAATCAGTAAAAACCACCAGAATGTGTGCCTGTTTGTTTGTTTCGGCTGAAGACTATCTCCATACGGAGATTCCAGGGACGACATGTTGAGATGGCAGTGGCAAAGTATTTATTGAAGAATTGTAAAGTTTTGAGTAAAATGGCAATATATGCAGGTCTTGGGATTATAAAAGAGAAGAAGTTACACCAGGAATTTGCCATGTTTGAAAGGGGCTCAACGACTTGTGAAGTTGAAATCATTGAAGCGTAATTTGGTTTCTTCAAGCACTTTATATTCAAAGTGCATTTGAGATTTGGCACAAATCCATTTTCGAGTTTGTAACAGCATGAACTATTGTGAAAGAAGATGAATGAATCGCTTTGATTTTTGCAGATGCTTGTTTACGGTTGTGTAGATTCCTTATCAAGGGTGAGTTGCATATATTGCGAAGCTTTTTTCAGTTGCTTTGCTTTTCATCTTTTTCCGGCAATGCAATGCAATTGAACAGGCAAGGAAGTATGATTCTAATTTGATAGCACAGTTGTTTCAGGTAGCATGATGTTCTTTTACTTTCCTGTTCAATTGCATTGCCTTGATGAGCTCATTAAGAATGATTCTAATTTGATAACACAGTTGTTTCAGGTAGCATGATGTTCTTTTACTTCAATTTCTTTTTCTGGTTTTTAACAGATGCTATCTTTCTTAGAAATTAATGTTTTGTACATGTTGGTTGCTAGTAATGATAGTTTAGCTGTTCTTTTTAGTTGCGTATTTTATTCGCTATAATTTGGTATATATCAAAGTATGTTTCTTACTCATGGCCATTTTTCAGAGGTTGGAGCAGGGGCTAAAGGTTGTTTGCGTGGTCAAGGGTTGTTGGGCTTGCGAGGAACTCAAATGTAATGATATTTGTTACATTGTTAGATTCTTAGATTTAGTTGAGTTCATTTTCATGGAAGAAAAAATGTATTAGGAATTGTTTTCATTATCAGTATGAATAATTTTTTACCGGTGGTATTACTATTTGATTTTGTAATATTTGTATTTTTTTAATGTTTAACCTATTGGGCACAATAACAAAATTGTGCTAACATGGCTCGGAAAAATCATTTGACACATGTCAAAACTGAGGCACCAAAAAACCTTATTTGTGCTTCTCTCTTTAAGCACCAAAGACAATGTTGTGCTTTATGATCAAAGGGCATGCCCATAGAGGGCACACATAATATTTAGTTGTTGTTGTTATTGTTTTGAACAAACGATATTATCACACTAAGGATGAGGGGATGAACTTTGTCTCACAATGGGCTAGCAATAATGTGGTTCAAATTCACTGGAGTGTTGCTATTGTTAAAGAACACATATATTAGTGTCCTTAAGTCTCATAGGGCACAATTAACTTTGTGTGTGTACTGGTCATTTTTCTTGTAGTGTGATTGTTACAGATCCAATGAAGTAGACTTCCGGCAAGTACTTAATCCCACCAACGTTTGCGCCTCTTTCTCTGATGGTGCACCTCAAGACCATCACTGTAAATGGATGCAGAAGATGATCAAGGGGTTTCGATTGTCAAGTTGAAATGCGATTGTGGGTTTCAGAAGTGAATTATTATCTAGTGTGCTTCTAGGGTTAGGAAAAGAAAAATCCTCTTTCGTTTTTGAAGGTGATCTGTCGTTTCCAGTTAGTTTTTCTGTGGTATATTTTCTTGTATCAACTTTCGATAGGTTCTTCGGACTCTCTGGGAATTCTATTATGGACTTACCTATGGTGGTGATGATAGAAGGGGCAATATATGATACTGTTTTGCAGACATTGCCATTTCTTAAACAGTTGTTAATCTAGTATTTTTCTAATGCCTTTTTTCTTAATTGTTCAGTTTTAGTGTAAAAGTTTGAAAATATTTCCAATTGTAGCATAGTTTCCTGAGGTGAGAAGAAAATTCCAATGCCTGTCAGATTTTGGTTTATCAATCTTCTGAGGTGAGAAGTTTGGAAGCGGAGGTCAATGATCCTCTCAAGGCTAACTGGTGGGACAAAGAAAATACTGATTAAGACTAATGGTTAACATACAAACATTATAATCAAAACCCTTTTATTATAATTTATACGAAAAAAATCATTTAATTTTGAACACCGTTTAGTCATTCATATGCATCTAACAAATATACGGTTTATTATGAGGATTATATTTTATATCAAAAACGTTGATTGGTTTGACACGCATGAATGACTAATTGATCTTCCAATTGAATATTTTTTGCATAGACTATCTTTAGATGTTGAAAAAGAGAATGAACGAATCTGATTATGATTTTTTTAATTTATTATTATTAAGGGGAGGGGGTAGGGTTTGAAATTACTACAATAATTAAGGAAGGAAGAGTTTTGAACCCGAGACGCATGAATTTCTATTATGATGTTTTTACGGTGGAGATGCGTTAATCTCAAGTTATGGGACAAGTCGATTCTCATGGGAGGGACACAAGTATTTTCTTACAGTAAGGGGTGAAGAATAAATTGGTATCGAACATACCATCCACGAGATTCTAAACTTAAACCTGTCACTTACAACCAAGTGAAATAGAATAGTACTTTACCGTAGTACTAAGTGGCAAAAATGGCAAATTAAAAACAATGAAATTCTCTCATGACTCAAATAGTGTTTTTTATAGGTGAGGATGAGTGACGAGTTAATCGGCTGTACACAACTGACACCTAAGACCATCTCCAACCCTTGGGTTAAAACCTAAATTTTTTAGCCTAGGAAATTTAAGTTTTAACTCAGAAACAACTTTTTTATTTCAACCCTTCTGAGTTAAAATTTTAGGCTTTTTTTTTTTCTTAAAGTAACTTTTTAAAAGAAAAAATATGTAGACTATCCTAATTTAATTTTATGAACATTTTAACCTAAAAATATTTAGATTCTGACAAATATTAAAAAATAACTAATTGATACCATGAAACTCGTGAAATACTATAAAAGAATATGAAACACATAAAAGATTTTTTTTATTACTTTAGCCGTTATATTTAAATTTGGACCGTTAGATTTTTTTTTTTTACTATTGGATTTCATCAAATTAGATCTTAATAGTTAGATTCAATGAATTTAAAAATATAAAACTAAAAAAATATGCATATATGGTGGGCTAGCCCCACTAACCCAGGGGGGATTCTGAGCTACATTTTGCCCAGAAATGAGTTTTGACCCAGGGGTTGAAGCAAGTTGAGATAAGTTTATAACTTAAAATTTGAGTTTTACTCCCAGGGTTGAAGTAGGTCTAAGGGTCGTCATTGGGGTTTGCAAAAGTTTTTTCATTTATTGTGTACGTGGGGTTTTTCCCAAAGGAAAACCATTGGCAGAGGGTAGATCTAAGATATTTCATTTTGTACAAGACGATATGTATTAAAAAGTAAAAAACTACTTTAATCTAATTTAGAAAAAGTGAGATTTGAACTTGAGTGAGTGACATGGGACGGGCCAATTATCTTGAAGTTCTATGAGTTGATTGGCTTCAATTATGAGCTTGTGAGGAACTAAACATACGCAACAAAGTATAGTAAAGACAATTGCATTGATAACAGACGGGATGCATTAACCAAAAAGCTACTAGATAACTAGTGGCTACCACCCATCGATGAATTCCAAAGGACCTTTATGCATAGGATAGGACTTTTATTTTGATTGGAGCATGTGTACAAATACAACTCAATAGCCAAAGCCAATTATAAACTCACGTTACTTGGTCAAAAAATATATATTTAAAAAAAAAAAATAGAAATTGTGCATCTGCAAAGAACCCTAGGGAGGAGACAGCGATGGGGATGATGATGACAAACTACCAGAACACACACAAATTGAAGTAAATTTGGGCAATTGTGGTGGATTTACGAGGAATTGAGAGCCACCACTCAATCAAAGCGAAGAAATGATGGAAAAGTCCATGGCAGATGATGGGCATGTGGGCATTGCCAGACCACTCATCCACATCTCTTACACATTCATAGATAAGCTTGTGCCCTTTTTACACGACAAAAGACTCCATCTTTCACTTGTTTTTCGAGGAACCAACCTTTTTAGGGGACCAGCTGGTGGTTTCATCACGTCAGTCCATTCTTTTATAGATCTTGAAGACTCACAAAGGCATTTTAGCCTCTCCTTGACCACTATAGTATAATTTATTAATGTCGGGAGTTTAATTTGTGCTTAGGGAGGGAGCAAGGTCGTGTCCTCCATTCTTCCTTCCTCCACCACCATCGTGATTCTGTTCAGATGATAGCTCTTTCTCTCCCACTCCACCCAAACCATCCTGCCATTGTCAGTTAACCAAGATGATCAGTTTTAGACCCGGCTTGATTGGTTTCGGTTAGCAATTTTGGCTCGACAGAATAGGTTGATTTGGTTTCAATTTTGGCCCCAAACCGACACAACACAACCCGCGCACACCCCTAGTCTTGAGCATGTTCTACGAAAATGTATACCAAACCAACCCACATGCAATTTATGTGGGAGGGTGGCAATCTTTAATGTTTCGGGCCAGTTTAATATCATTGCATGCCCTGTAAGGATAAACGCCTTTACAACCATCTCTCTAGATTGACAAGAAAAATGGATACACAATTTGGTAAGAAAATATGTCCTTTCTAAAGTTTTCATTGACTTATATACATCGGTGGTCTCTATTTCATGTGGAATGGTAATTAAGACAAAATGCACAATATAGTGAAAGCCAAACCACAAAAGAAGCAAACCCAGGTGCCCAAAACATGGCGAGCAGTATATAACCTTTCTTTGGCCAAAACAGTAAGCACGAAGCACCTAACTACAAAAGAAGCAAAATATATTGATGTATAAATGTCTTTGCTGTGTTAGGTTCATTATAAGCTTTGTGCAGTGTTTAATGTAAGCCATTGGATCATATTCCATATGGTATTTAGATTAGATTCTAATGAGTCATATCTCATGACAAGTGTAAGCATCTTACATGATGGCTTAGAAATGAATGGTTGTGATGTTTTTGTAATGTTGTGAGAGAGAGAAACTGCTTCATTCTCCTCCAACGGTAAAACATGTTCTTTGGGTTCTTTGCTTTTAGAACAAGCTGAATATATTGATATTAAGTGAAAAACCTCTGTTCTTAGTGTATGGTTTTACTGTTCCATTGAATCTACCCAAAATCAAACTCTAATATGGCCTCAGAGCCAGGTTGGATCTCAATCTGGGCATGAATCTGTGACAAGGGTTGTAGCTAAGGAACTCGACAGAGAATCGAGTTTGCTGCGATTTAAGAACAACCTGAAAATCACTGGGTAACTCGATAACAAGTCTAATATGGCTGGATCGAGTGGTGCTGATCTTCGGGCGCCGATTTTCAATGGGGAAAACTTTGATT